ATGGCAATGATCCCCTCGGCAAAGCTCAGCAGAAGTTCAGCCATGTGGACCTGTCGAATAGAAGCCTTGTTACGATCCCCATTGGTCTTTACAAGAAAGCGCCCGAGATTATTTCGCTGAACCTATCGAAGAATCTGGCTTTGGACGTACCGAAGGACTTTATTCAGGGATGCATCAATCTGCGAGAAATCAAGTTCATTGGGAATGAGGCTCTTAGACTTCCTGCAAGTTTTGGACTTGCAAGTCGGCTGACATATCTGGACGTGTCCAATAACTTCTTGGAGGACCTGACTCATGCCAACCTTGACAGGTTGCACGGACTTGTCAGCATAAAGATGGCCAACAATAGGCTCACCAAGTTGCCCAGTTACTTCGGTAACTTCCAGTACTTGAGGAGCCTCAACATATCGTCGAACAACTTCAAGGTGTTCCCTGACCTCCTCTGCGGCCTGAAGAGTCTAGTTGATCTAGACATCAGCTTCAATAATATCTCAGAATTGCCACAAATCGGCAAGCTCGCGACACTCGAGCGGATTTGGATGACGAACAACATAGTCAGAGGTGCTTTAGACGATACCTTCAGAGATCTCGTCAATTTGAAAGAAATAGACGCAAGGTTCAATGAAATCACGAACATTGACACACTGTGTGTTCTCCCTCGCCTGGAGCAGGTAGCTATTGGACACAATGCTATATCGAAGTTCAAGGGATCGTTCCCAAAACTCAGAACTTTGGCACTTGACCATTGTCCTATGACTCAATTCGAAATCGACGCACCTATACCCACATTGACGTCTCTCAATATTGCGTCTGCCAAGCTTGTTCAATTGCGTGATACTTTCTTCGAAAATTTACCTAATCTGACAAAGGTTATTCTAGACAAGAATCACTTTGTTTCAATGTCACCTCACATAGGCAAATTGCGCAAGCTTGAGCACTTCAGCATGATCAAGAATCCCCTCGCTGCTCTTCCCGCCACCATTGGCTGCTTGACGGAGCTCAAGTATCTCAACTTGAGGGAATGCAATCTGAGAAAGCTACCGCCAGAAATATGGCACTGCCTGAGGCTCGAGACTCTGAACGTCTCTTCGAACGTCCTTGAAGGTTTCCCGAAGCATGGAAGCCCGCAGCCTCAGGTCCCCAGCGAACCGATCGGCACACCCGCCGCAACGCCTGGCGTATCGACAACACCTAGCTATGAGGAGCTAGGTGCTTTGGAGGAGCAAGAGGCTCGACGACCAAGCCAAACATCGGGCGGCGTGCTTAGCACTGGAAGCTCTCCAAACGGGGGCGCTTACCGGAAGCCCTCTGTCGCATCCTCCCTCGGCCAAGGCAGGAAAGTCTCTGCTGCATCTCGTTCACTGACTGACGGCAGTCCATCTTCACGCAAGGACTCCAATTTCTCTCAGCATGTGGCGACGACATTTGGCGGGTCACTTCGGAATCTGTACCTGGCTGACAATCGTTTGGAAGACGACATATTTCGTGAACTTTCACTCATCCCGGAGCTGCGCATTGTTAACCTGTCGTACAATGAATTGACCGAGCTCCCCCAGGGACTGCTGAGACGTTGGCCGCTGCTGACCGAATTGTACATCTCTGGCAATGAACTGACATCGCTTCCTTCCGATGACCTTGAAGAAGGAAGCAGCCTGAGGGTTCTTCACATCAACGCGAATCGCTTCCAAGTGCTTCCCGCCGAGCTCTGTAAGGTCAGCAAACTCTCAATTCTGGATGTTGGCAGCAACTCTCTGAAGTATAATGTCTCCAACTGGCCCTATGACTGGAACTGGAATTGGAATCGAAACCTCAAATACCTCAACTTTTCGGGAAATAAACGGCTTGAGATCAAACCTCCTGGCTCTTCCCTGTCGAACCAACAGCAACAACCAAAGCATCAGACAAACCTCACCGATTTCACTTCTCTCACCCATTTGCGCGTTCTGGGATTGATGGATGTCACTCTCACAATTACAACGATCCCTGAGGAAAACGAAGATCGTCGGGTCAGGACGTCTGCTTCACTTGCGGGCTCACTCGCATACGGTATGGCTGACTTTCTCGGCAAAAGCGAGCATCTTTCTATCTTCGATATGATTGTGCCTCGTTTGAAGCCGGACAAGGTTGAAACGGTCGTGGGTATGTTTGACGGGCAGTCTCAATCCAGCGGAGGTTCAAGAATTGCCAAATTTCTTCACGAGAACTTCATCCATACTTTCTCTTCTGAGTTGAAAAGAATGCGCCCCGAGCAGCACGAGACACCGCTTGATGCGCTCCGGAGGGCGTTCTTGACTCTGAATAAGAATATGGCCTTCGCTTGCTACAAGTCGCTGGATCAGGATGTCCGGCAGTATCAGGAAGATTCAACCGATCAGAGGAAAGTTCGGCTTACCAAAGACGACATTGATCTCGGCGGCGTTGCGACCGTCATGTACCTCAATAACATGGACCTCTATGTCGCAAATGTTGGCGATGCCCAGGCGATCCTCGTCAAAGCGGACGGCTCCTTGAGACACCTGACTCAAAACCATGATCCTGCCGAAACACATGAAAGGGCAAGAATCCGCGACGCCGGAGGGTTTGTCTCCCGGACCGGCAAATTGAACGACGTCCTCACCGTGTCAAGAGCTTTTGGACACTTCCCAATGATGCCCGCTGTCATCGCAGCTCCTCACACCATGCACGTAAATCTGACTGAGCAGGATGAGATGGTCATCCTCGCATCTAGAGAGTTGTGGGACTACGTGACGCCGGATCTGGTAGTCGATGTGACCAGGGCTGAACGAAGAGATCTCATGATCGCAGCCCAGAAGATCAGAGACCTGGCCATATCTTTTGGTGCGACCAACAAGTTAATGGTGATGATTCTAGGTGTGGGTGATCTCAAGCGACGGGAGAAGATTAGGACCCGGCCAAGTCTTTCGATGGTTGGGCCCCCCGAGGAACAGATTATTCCCAGTACCAAGCGCACCAAGAAGCCGCGTGATGCGCCTGGTGACTCCCGGCTCGCTCGATTCAATTACGTGGACGCCCCCGTTGGTGAACTGGCAATCATCTTCACTGATATCAAGAAGTCGACCAGTCTTTGGGAGACCTGTCCTGATGCGATGCGTTCGGCCATTCAGATCCATAACGACATCCTTCGTCGACAGCTGGGTATCATAGGGGGATATGAAGTGAAGACTGAAGGTGATGCCTTTATGGTCGCTTTCTCTACCACCACAGCTGCTTTGCTGTGGTGCTTCAACTGCCAGACACAGCTTCTTGACGCCGAATGGCCGACGGAGATCCTTGAGCAGCCCCAATGCCAAGTGGTCTATGATACGGAAAACAACATCATTTTCAGGGGTTTGTCCGTCAGGATGGGCTCTCACTGGGGCGAACCTGTTTGTGAGAAAGATCCTGTCACCAACCGTATGGACTATTTTGGGCCAATGGTGAACCGAGCATCACGAATCTCCGCGGTCGCTGATGGTGGCCAAATTTTCGTATCGTCGGACTTCATGAGTGATATTCAACGCAACCTGGAGATATTTGCCGATAGCGAACGGGCTGCGTCGACAGGTTCGGAAGAAAGCTATGCGTATGATACCCTCGGGCACAACATTCGTCGGGAGCTGCAGCAACTCAACAGCCAGGGATTCGTGATAAAGGACCAGGGTGAGCGCAAGCTAAAGGGACTAGAAAATCCGGAACCGCTCTATCTCATCTATCCGCATGGCTTGTCGGGACGATTGACGACGTTGGACAAAGACGCAAGCAATGAGCTTGCCCCAACTACTATCAGCAAGCATTCTCAACTGGAAATCCAAACGGATTTGATTTGGCGGTTGTGGGAAATTACTCTTCGTCTAGAGAGGCTTTGCGCTGCATTGGAGTACCCGGGTGAAGCTCGACTGAAGGAGCCGAATGTAGCTCTATTCAATGTGGTCAAAAACCATGGTGGTGAGCTTGCAGACTCGACTGTGATAAGCCTAGTTGAGCAGCAGGTAACTCGCATCGAGGTAAGTGACACGATGGATCAAATATCTAGACTATATGCGAGATGCACTGACATTCCCTAGGTCTGTATCACTACACTCTTCATTCGAAACATGATGCGGCCCTTCCGGCCAGGCGACCAGCTCAATGACCACGCTGTACCGATTACAGACGTGATGCAACAACTACAAGCTCAGCTCGCAGAATTCCGAGCTCTAAAGGAGCAAATTGATGCCAGTGCTGGCACTGCAACTAGCTATACATACACCGACCCCCAGTATAGCAACGGTGAGAGCAACTATGACTCTGCCTCGTCGTCCTATCTTCATATGGGACCGCCATCTGACGAGTATAACCCTGGCGGACCTCGTCCTTGAAATCCATCCTGATTATAATTCTGGCAAGGTTTACATTCTTCACATCTCTATTGTATTCATTGCACTTTTCTTTTTAGCTTCTTTTTATTCTACTGCAGAGCGGCGTCTCTTGGGTTGGTGGGAAGTGTGAATTCACAGCATAGGTTGGAGCCTTGGAAGGGTGGGGTTCGTCTTTCTTGCCCTTTTATCTCCTTCTTGGTGGTATCTTTCTTCCCCAACTTCTTGGTTACTGTGCATCTAATGGAAATGTAAAAGCGAATTCTCATTTTATCTGGTGGCTACCTCGTAAATGTATAAGCTATATATCGAGTACGGCGGATCGTAACATTGCGCCTGATAACTGTATGAAGCCTCTAGACGATGAGTCTTGACGCCTGGTGAGATGCATTTATCGGCCTATTCACCATGTGCGATACCCTGGGAATATCTGCCATTAACCGGACAGCACTATCGACTATATAAAGTGTCACTATATAGGATATCTAAGTAGCTATTGTCTGGAGACATGCGCCACGAGTGGCGACCTCAGGCGCGTTGCCTCCCGCTCACGTGATGACCAGCGTTTGTTATGATTTGTTTGCATGACGGGGGGGCCAAGGCCAGCTTGCTCATCTTGCCGTATCCGTGCTCCAATTTGACCCTTTCTCTTCTCTCCCCTTCTCATCACTCCCGTCAGACTCGAATCGAATTCCTATCGTTTTTAATTCTAGATAGGTTTGGTATATCGAATCCGGTCCTATTTGTTACCCTCAATCGGCCAGTTGGCTTTTCTTGCCACGGCCCCGCTTGGTTGCCCTGGAGACCATCGATTAACGGCTACTTCCGTCATTGACGAGCTGGGGGCTGCACAATAATCAAGGTTCTCACCAAAAGAGCGGAGACCAGGAAGATCTTTCCTTCCCATCCGTCCGTTCAATTTTTTCCCTCTCCACAAAACCCCATCCGCCTTTTCCTTTAAAACATCGGTTTTCGTGGCGTTGATAAGCTACGCGAATCGCTTCCACCATGGCGGACGCTCTGGAGTATCTTGCTCCGGATTTTGATCTCAATTCCCTCACCGTACCGCGTCTGCGATCCATCCTTGTTAGCCACGATGTTCCCTACCCTGCTTCGGCCAAGAAGGCTCAACTTATCAGCATCCTGGAGGCGGAAGTTATGCCCCAGGCCCGAAAGCTATTGAGAGAGCGCGAGAGAGTCAGGAGAACCAGCGAGGGTATCACAGACATGGGAAGTCGCGCGACGTCAGATGCGAGCGACTATGACGACCAGCGCGGAACTCCGGCGAGAGACTCGATGCCACCCCCGCCTACACCGTCTACGGTATCGACAGCCACCGGAAGAAGGGGACGCTCTAGAGCAAGTGTCAGAGCATCGACAGCCGACACTGAGGAAAGAAATGCTACAGCTACTCCGTCGGTGAGCTCGAGGAAATCTATCCCGAGATCGCAATCGAGAAGATACCGCACGTCAGACACGGAGCCGCAGGACGATATGTTGGCAACACCTGTGGCAACTGACACCATGACACCACGGAAGTCCACTGCCAGGAAACCCAGACGCAGCGAAATGACACCATCTGTGAACCCCGAACCCCCGGTTTCTGCCATTAAACTCGAACCGAAGGAGGAGAGCGTTTTCACCGATGATAATCCCTTCCAAAGTGGATCGCCAGCCCGTTGGGAATACAAGAGCCCGAGGCCGTCTAGTCATAGATCGGAAAGAAAGAGCAGCTCGCGGTTTTCGCTCGAATCGCCTGCCTTGAGTAGCGGTCTGCGGTCAAGGAAGTCCGTCACGCCAGCGGATCTGCACGATCAGCATGGTGCTACTCCATCAAAGCGGTCACCATTCGAGCCCCCCATCTCAAATATGAGAACTCCTCCACAGAATTTTGATCCAATCAAGTACGAGGAGGACAGCGACTTTAGTGCAGGCGAGGAATTTACACCAGACGAGCAGTTGGCGCTCGAGAGGGAGCACGCCGACTTGATGTACAGTGTTCCAAGCCGGCGGCCACAAAAACAGGGAACTGCAAGCCGTGCAGCGCCTTGGGTTATCCTCGTCATATTGTTCGCCAGTTTCGGTGCTTGGTGGCGTAAGGAGAAGATTGAGATCGGATTCTGCGGCATTGGCAAACCCACTTGGTCCTTGGCCGAAACCAGGGTCCCTGAATGGGCCAATGTCCTTGAACCTCAATGTGAACCATGCCCCCCGCACGCATTCTGCTACCCTAACTTTGAAGCTCGCTGTGAACACGACTTCCTGCTTAAGGCGCATCCGCTGTCTCTTGGAGGGTTGGTTCCGCTGCCCCCCACCTGTGAGCCAGACAGCGAGAAAGCACGTCGTGTAAAGGCTGTCGCGGATAAGGCTCTGGAAGCATTGCGTGATCGCAGGGCGAAGTGGGAGTGTGGGGAGCTGGCGCAGGATGAGGAAGGCACCGTCGGTGCAGAAATCAGCGAATCCGATTTGAAACAGGAAGTGGGGAGACAGCGCCGGAAAGGCATGAGTGACACAGAGTTTGATGACCTTTGGAAGGGAGCTCTGGGTGAGGTGATTGGAAGGGAGGAGGTTGTTACCAGAATGAAGCAGTAAGTCGATCAACTTTCCTAATCTGGAGGCTCTATCACACCTGCCCGGACACTATGGTGGCACCGAAGGAATCAGATTCTGATGTGTTTTCACGGAACTAACAGAGGCGACAACATGATTACAGACCATCCTCTGTCCTCACCCTCACCTCGACCTCCGTCAGCCGTCTCCCTCTCACATGCGCCTTCCGCCGCAACATCCGACTCTCTCTCGTCGCGTATCGATTCCCTCTTTCGGTTCTAGCTCTCTGCGCATGTGTAGTCCTTTACGCACGCTCAAGAGTCCGGGCTCGCCGTTCTGATATGGCTCGAGTCCCGGAATTAGTCGCTACGACACTCGACCGCCTGGCGACGCAAGCTGCCCTTCACGCTAGGGGTGCTGCTCGCGAGCCCTATATTCCCATTGGTCAATTGCGCGACGACGTACTCCGTTCAGAGCTGCGCGGAAGTCGGCGTGAAGCATTGTGGAAGCGAGTTCGCAGTGTAGTGGAGGGCAATGCCAACGTTCGCGCTTCAGTTCGTGAGGGCCGTGGTGGAGATGTTGCTCGCGTCTGGGAGTGGATCGGTGGGATTGGCAGTGTCCGGAGCGAGATCGAGAGTAGCACTGCAACAGGCCGTGAGAGCGGTAAGGTGCATTTCTCTCCACTAACTGCCGAGCAAAGCCGTGACCAGCCCGTTGGAGAGGCCACGCTGGCGCAGAGCCCGAGAGAATTGCGCAAATGGGATGAGGGCAGGCCTATCTACTGAAGGTCTGCTCTGTTTCGTCCTTATTCCCTTCTTGGAAATCATACTTTGCCCTCTACATTATTTACAACTTCGTGTATACACTATTAGGATTCCCCTGCAGTTCAGGATTTTGAAATAAGCAGTCAATTTTGCTCGTCGTGTTCCAATTCAGCTGCACTTTGTTCGTACAATGTTTTGGCGGTGTGGATCGCCTGCTCCAAAACCTGTTGAACCCACAGGTTAATTGGATGTTTTACGAACTTACGAATAGTTGGCGCAGGAATTTATCTCCGAAATGAGGTGGCGCACGGAAGCCATGCGAGATGCCCCCATTGCCCCATCCTTGCTCTCTCGGTATGTTGCTATTACCGTGGCCATGAAGTGAACGCATGCGTCTAGCAAGGATGGCAGTTCGGTAAGTGATTAGGTTCATCACCAGGCAACTCTGGTTCGTGACATCAAGGTGGCGTACCGAACCGACTGTTGTGTGCGATCACACGACCCCACAGCCACGGCATAGATGCCAGCCTATCAAGCGCTTGATACTCCTGATCATCCGCATTGAGAGGGAGAGAGCCGTGGTTACAATAGCAACGATTGACGGGCTCCTATACTAGTTGGAATGTTGCAACGCTCGCACTCCCCACTCCCGCAACCGAGCTTCGGCCGCCAGCGGATGTAGTGGAGTGGCTTGCTGCATAACTGGGCGGTTCAGGATCTACATATTTATCAGCTTCCTCGAGACGATAACTCGCACTTACCTACCTTCTTCTCTGCCACGTAGTGGATTGAGAACTAGTGAAACTGCATTAGCGATCTGGGTCCCGAGCACGACCCCATAGGGTTGATTCTCTAGTCGCGTCGGCTATCTCGAAGGGGTTAGATTATCAATATGTGATTGGCAAGCAGAAGATATAGATGCGGCGTAGTTCCGGAGACTTGGCTATTTGTGGGCAGTACGTAGGTGGTAGAATTTTGCCCCTGGAGGTTAGTTACTATTTGGAAGTCTAATCAGTATATAATTTGTCACAGGGAGTAACTTGAAGAAGTGAGAATCTTTGCTTGGGGGGAGGGGGAAGGGAGCTCGTATCAGCTCAGCCAGCTATGATGAGAAGAAAAGAGATCATGACTGACGTCTATCAAAAAGTAAAACCGACAACCAACGTCTTCCTGCTCATGTATTTGAATAAACCCAATGCTCCTCCAATCCACTGGTTGAAAATCTAGACTTGGGTTAAACTTCCAAACCAGGCCAAGTCCGACCGGGACTAGCGGCGGTGGGCCACCCGGGCACGTGAGCGCCTGCCTTGCGATGACAGCTGATCTCCTCCTCAACAGCCGGCAGTTGGTTTAACTTCAATCCTCAATTATAATCGCGCTTCCTCTGTTGCTGGGTGACGGTACTACTGGATTTCTAGAGCGTTGCGGCGTTCTTTGGTTCCCCCAGTCCCCGGATTCTGGATTGCAGTGTATGAAGGAAACTAAAGTTGGGGGCAAAAACCAGGCACTCAGCTTGCCCACGGTGCATAGAACTGCATCCACACCTAAGCTTTGCAGAACCAGTAATCGGGGCATAATCCGCTCTTGGTCTGTGTTTCCTCATCGTATACGTGGGTGGTCACTCTGTGGCTAAGATCCTCTGGAAGCAGGCAGTTGACGAAGACATCGACCCAGCGGACTAAGGTCCTGGGTCCTCTGTTCGTTCCGTCGATTTGATCCTTTCGTGGCCTATCAAATTTGACGGATAAAATATCCGGCTTCAGGCCGGCATTGAATTCGTGCAGAGTACCGGCCGTTACTTTAGTCAACCAATGGTCCTCCGTTGACTCGGTCAAAGTTATGCTCGCACAATCCCAGTAATTTTCCATTGAAGAACCCCCTTGCGAGAGGGTTCTTCGAGCGTGTATGAAGGGGCGTGAGGAAACCATCCCATCCAGACAATCGCCTACAGCAGAAACAGGGAAAGGAAAGGTTCAACAAAACTAGATTATACAGATACCTGAGGAATATTGGACAGGGGAACGCCGGTAGAGCTGCTCAAAACGGAAAGGAGGAACGAAGTCTGATCCAAAGAGTGGTGGTGGGAAAACCATATTACTCAGGGAGAAGGACGGATGGGCCCTTTAGGCATTTTAGCTGCGCATCGCCGTGTTGGTGACTATTGAGACTGCCTAATCACCAAACTCCCTGTCTGACCGCTGCTGGGTCTGTCCAAAAAACGAAGGCTGGGCTGTCCCTGATAGCCATTGCCATCGCAAACTCTCCCATCCTGGTGGATCGTTCGGTTGTCACCATCCAGCTGGATGTTCCATGCACTGATCTCGTCGACCTGACTCGCACATCTTCCTCAACCACTCCCAGCTGGGGTTTCTCCTTCGCTGGCACAATCTTCTTGCACCCGGCTTCTTGGCCATAAATGCCCGAGGGTTTGCTGTTCCTGGAACGGCTGGAGGAGAGCCACAGCGTTGGGGACGGCCCGTGGGCCTGCGTAGGCCCTGATGTGTCACAATTCACAACACACACCGATCCTATTCCCCCCCCCCCTCCCTCCTCTCCCCCCTACTTGTATTGGGCCGTAATTTTGAGTTTTTTGGGATTTTCCCCCTTGAGAGTGCAGATGGTAGCTTTTCGAACCCACCCACTTTTGCTCGTCTCGACCGCCCGCGGTACGCCGGTGCGACAACGCTGCAGGACCTGGCTAGTCCGTTGAACATGGGGCCTTCTCTGGTCGTCCGGCATAGATGCGCCTCCTAGTGAGGCGAGTGCTCCTAGAACTTTCTACCCGCGATCTTATCTGGCACTTCGCTGGCCCCCTCCCACGGGCCTCTTGTTTTCTCCCGTCGCTGCTTCTTCTCCTCTCTGTCATCATATACAGACACACTCTTTCTTAAGTCATGGCCCAACAAGGGTCTGGGAAACCTTTTCGTCCCATTGCCCCAAGGAGGATACCAGAGCCTCCAACCCCGGCTGCTGCGCCCGAAGAGGGGAAAATAAAGCGCGCTTCTACGGCTTGCGGGGAATGTAAACGACGTCGAACGAAGGTGAAACCCCCCCCCCCCCCCCCCCCAGCTTGGCTCTTCTAGTACACTCTAGCGGTTTCCTTTCCTTTATGATGCATCATAATGGTTCATTTGGTCCCTCCATTAAGTTCTTCTATCTTCTCACTCTTTCTGCTCTGACTTGGCTGGCCGTATCACAGTGTAGTGCAGATACAACGGGGACGCCGTGCGCTGAATGTGCTCTTCACGACCGGGAGTGCGTGATCGATGAATTCGCCGACAAGCGACGTAAAGTCGCGGCCAAGCGTGCCCAGGAGGATTTGAAATATTACCGTGGCTTTGTGGAACAACTCCTTGAGGCGCTAAGATCTGGTGATCGTTCCACCATCGACGGCATTCTCGACGTCATCCGATCGGGCGCAACTCATGATGAAATCCGGGCCGTTCTTGCTCGCTCCGCACCGAAAGATGAGATAAATATTATCGACGGGGTGGATTCCGTGGCGACAGACGGCAACAACAGCACGCCGGCGAGCTCCAGGCCGGATGGTTTACCCGATGACGAGAAATAAAACGAACCTACCACCAGCGATGATATATATCAAATTGATGACAAACTTACCTTTGCTATCTACGACTCCGACATGAGCACGCGACGACAGTACCGGTTCACGTTTTACCATATTATTCGACGAGACTATGAGAAGCTACGTTAGAGGCCTCGGTGAAGGAGACGAGGGGAAGGGAAAAAGGGGCCAGGTTATGTGAAGGGTAATATAAGTCCCTTAGTTCACTGTTAAAAGAAAAAAAAGTGAGAACATACATTTGCCAGGCTTCCAACCACAGATTTCCTATCATCTCCATATCCTCCCGTCTCCTCGCTTCTCCTATGGTGGCTCTGGCATGGTTGGGTGGATGGCTGAGAACTGGCCCTTTTCGCCCTCTCGTTTCGATACCTGTCTATGCAACTTAAGACATCACAACCAGCCATGCAGGTCTTAGGTGCTGTCTGTCTACTATGGTGGGGGTGGATGAAGGTTCCTTAAGCGCCACATATACTGAGAACAATGAAGTAGCCAGTTCTGGAGACTACGATGGGGAAAGGTGGTGGAATTCACGGTGCATATCTTTCTGGCACCGGAAGCAAGGGAGACGAAGCACTCGAGCGTCGGAAGAGGCATCATGGCTACATAAGCCCATTCTTCACGAACCCCCCAGCATATGTCGATCAATGGGCCCGAAATAGCGCGCTGGTAAACGCTCAGGGTTGAGGTTGGGTCACCGACAGCAAATCTTGCATATGCAGGTCAGCCTATGATTGGGTCTGTCTGGCGTGCACATTAATCTGCATAACTGATCACTTGCCGGCTCACGGGCCTATCTGAACAAGCGATGGATCAACCCTCGCTTTTTCTGTCATTTTTTCTGTTTCACAAGACAAAAGTATGATTCATGCAGAATCCAAATTGGAGCACGGTCGTTTTCTTCGGCTACGACCACGCTAGGCTTGCACTTGAGGGATCTTACTGGCTTTTCAGAGCTCTTCTGCAGAGACTAAAGGCTCACGGTGGTCCCCTCGGTAAGAACCGTCAATGCGTGGCGTTGCTCGGACTTTCCGGGGTGGGTCATAGCTCCGACTATTCCTTCGAGTCTACATTGAGGGTATGAGCCAACGGCGAGCTAGCGTGATCGCCTGGTTTTATTCCTTTGCCTGGTTAGGTTAACTGTGTTGGTGTGGTAGAGGTATCGCTGCAGATTACTGCAGCCGCAGGTACTCTCACACTGCACTGCAACGGTCTGAGATTTGGCAGGCCGGGATAGTCTTTAGCCATATTCGAACCAACTCACTTTCAAGAACTGCATACATAAATAATGGAGATTCTGTAATCTCCTGTACAGAACCGTATGCAAATCCCGGCTATACGCCCAAATTTCGTTCCGACAAACCGGGACACCCGACTGGGCCAACCGTAATATGCTCTGAAGTTTCCTTGTCGGAATTGGCCGACAAATATATCCCTGTAAGGAAACGTCATGATCAGACCCTGGTCGTCGGAAGTCAACGCTTATTGTACTCCTCTAGTACTATCCTAATATGCAATGATGTCATCTTTTTACTATTTTTCTCATCATGAGTGATGAGTGTTCGGGTGGTGCAGTGGTATCTACCACGGATGGTACTCCTACGGTTATTTAATATGAGATTTCTCTAGTCTACGCTAAAATACATAGTAGAGTAGGTTCCGGATTTCCACGGCTGCTTTTGACTAACTACGATAAAGGAGGGATGAGGGATTGATTGGATACTATATATCTGATGCTGCGGAGAAGAATAAATTTAATATATCCCCAGATGCAAGATTATGAAGGAGGATTAGTGTGATTTATATGATTTTTTTTTTCACTGTTTCTATGTTTAGTATAGTGAAATTTATTGTAGGTTCTTAAATCCTGATACAACTTAATCTCAGAATTGTGAAGTAGTATTACAGTATCTTTTATAGTCCCTTTCTATGACACAGTCTAATATAATTTTGTAATAGATCTAGTGGGTCATGAATCACCTGCTTCCGCGTGTCCATGTATGCTGTCTAAATAAGCCTAATTCTACTGGTTCGCAGGTAGCTGCGGGTAAAGATAATTTTTTTGGTCTTGTAGTAGCAACATTCTTAGGTTGTTCTTTGACAATGCCCCGTATCATTTTGTACAAGGGATGGTCAATAGAGCCACATACTGTATAGTGTTTGAGATGGTAATCCACATAGTACTAAACTGATAACAATTACTCAAACCACTCGGCCACACTGACTGTTTCATACTTTCTTTGGAACAATTTAGGCCTGATACAGTATTGCCCTGTTTAGGCCCTATACTCGATGGCACTGTTAGGAGTTCACATTCAAGATGTCAGACAGCATCCATGTGATTGCACATGTTGTTCCCATCTACATGGAAATCAGAGATAATGCTATGCTTAACACATGAATAATGCTCTACCATGTGGAGTTCGCAATGGTGTGGTGTTAGGGTAGGTCAGTGAGCGGCCTCGGCGCAAGCCCTGGATTACAATATCTCGGTCATACTAATAGTAAATCCCTTCGCTGGGGGAAATCTGGGACCAACATTTCGTGAACCATTTTTCATATGTCTCTGATTTTTCTTTTTTCTTTCTTTTTGTTGGGAGTCTTGTTGAAAGTCAGTAGTCTGTTGTTCACATATCTAACTTCACCCGGCCACCTCGCACGAATTATCCTGGATCTGCCAGTCATCCCATCTCTGAATGATAATACCCTCATCAAAATCATTCATTCGCCCATTCAATCAAGCACTGCATCCACAAGCTCTATACCCCCAACAGACCCATTCTCAGATTGCAGGAAATCAGACAACAACAAAATGACCACCACCGACCCCCTACAAGAACCATGGCTGATTACCATCCACCCCCTAACCACCTCCATAGCCATACTAGCCCTCACCATCTACCTAACCCTAGTCCAACACCTTCGATACCAGCGCAAAACAGCAATAGAAGCCCCATTCACCACCAACAAAAGACCCCTATCAAGCATGACCATCGAAGAAGCACACGCAATCATAACCCAACTACAAGAGCTAGAATTCCCCTATGCGTTTGCCAAGGCTCGTCGTATGGCTCTCTTGAAGGTACGCACGACCATACACAGCATAGACCCCTGACTCTACGACCAAGCTAACTAATCCCAGGCCGGAGGCATCCCCACCATGTCGAAGCTATTCGCCGTGACAGGCCAGAATAACCGACGAAACGCGGGTAAACGCGCCGTCGACACAGAGATTCTTCTCCGAGAGTCGCAGTCCCAGCGGAGAGATTCGGATCGCTATGCGACTGCTGTAGCGAGGATGAATTATCTGTATGTGGTTATATATCCTCATTGGTATTATTGAACTTGTTTGTTCTGACTAACCACTATAGTCACGCGCGCTACCGCCGCGCCAACAAAATCACCGACGACGATCTCCTGCATACACTCGGCGATGGACTCGCTGAGATTCTGAACGTCATTGAGCGAGAAGAGTGGCGGGGTCTTACAGACGTGGAGATCTGTGCTCTGGGGATATTTCATAAGAATCTGGGTGAGGATATGGGAATCCCGTTTGATGTGCTTCCGTCGAAGGCGGAGGGGTGGGAGGATGGGGTGCAGTTTGCATTGGAGTTGACTCGTTGGACGGTCCAGTATGAGGAGAGGGTTGCGAGGTTTACGAAGACGAATGATCAGTATGTTCGTGTTTATGTGGATTCTGCGCTTCCGGGGTTGGTGAGGCCTGTGGTGAGGCGGATGTTGGGTGCTGGGTTGGATGAGGTTATGAGGTTGAGTTTGGGGTGGGTTTTATACATCGTCCTGTGGCAATTTCAGTTATTCATTGGGCCCTGTGCTAACAGATCTCTTAGACTTGAATCCCCCGGATACTTCTTATCATTCTTGATTAACGTCGTGCAAACCTCACGGAAACTATTCCTCCGATATCTCGCCCTCCCGCGTCCGACTTTCCGTGCCGTCAAATTAGTGCACGACGTGCCAAATCAGGAGACGAAGTTGTACAACTTTGAGAGAAAGGTCCTGCAACCGTGGTATATTCGACCTACTGCATGGTCGAAATGGGGTCCTGGGGCCTTGCTGATTAGATTGTTCGGAGGCAAGGTGCCTGGTTCGCGTGGGGACCGGTATCAATCACAAGGATACGATTTGATGACAATTGGGCCAGAGCCACAGAAGTGTAAGGGAGTGGAGGAGATGAGAGGTGGTATTGAGGTGATTAAGGCGAGGGGAGTGGCGATGTGTCCGTTTTCGAAGGCGAAGTTGGATCATCTTGGTGCGAATTGACGGAGTTGTATATTGTTTATATCGAGGGGGCGATACTACCATGCCTTGGATAAGAAGTGTAAGAGGTGAAGAATCTTGTGCTTAGATGCATTTGAGGACATTTGAAATTAATATTTGTTATTATTGATGGGTTCTGGCCGTACCTGTAGATGTTGGCTCTTAGACATATCACTTGATGTTGATGTCTGCGCTATGCCCTCCTGATCTGAAGCGAGATCATATACTGACAAAAGCCTTTCTAAATATTATTTTGTTGTGGATAAATATTACTTCCAGTAGTATTGAGTTCAAATGAAAAGAGTGATAACGACAGTTATCATACTACATTCAAGTCCGAACATAGTAACCATCCCCACACAGATATTACAATCAACCCAATCCAAGCCCCGAGGCAAACAATTGCTAGGTCAAAGCGATCTACCTACTAGCGTGTCAATCATATATTATGATCCATTCTCCGCACCGAACCCTGCAACGCACGCCTAACATCCACCTCCCTAAACCCCGGCGCACGACCAAGAATCACAAGCCCAGGAAGAAGCCCTAGTACATCACTCATCAGCATTTCACCCAAACCCCAACTGGAACCATCAAAAAATCCACTTACTCGAAAAGAACCCCTCAACATCCAAAACATACTCCCCCACAGAATCCCCAGACCCAGACCCACTACACCTCAAGAACAACCCCCCATTCGTTACATCCCACCCCATCAATCCCAAAAACCCCTCGACATCACGACAATCAAACCACGTCCCTCCAAGTCCATACATCTCCAACATATCATCCCTACTCTTACTACTACTACTACTGCTCATCACCCCCAACACCCTCCCCGGCATCCTCCTATTTCGCGGTACATCCCCGTCAACACCTCGGAAATGCGTACCCGCGCCGCCGATACCATAGAAAGGTAATCTCGGCACTTCTAGCGGATCGGTGCACCCGCCCGTCAGGAGCTGCTTGAAGCGAGGCTGTGTCTTTTGTGGATCTCGGATGCAGGGGACGAGACGAAAGACGCGATAGATGGTGGATGGGTTGGAGCGCGGGTCGGTGAAGAGACGGTAGGCGTGCTCGAGGGTGTAGCGGTGGAGTTTGCGTAAGAAGCGGGGTTCGTGGAAGGCGTAGGTGTGGTGTTTTGTTGGTAGAGGAGGGGGGAGAAATGTGAGTGGTTGATTGTGGGTCAGAGGGTGGTGGTTATTGGGGTGTGTTGGTTGTTGGTGATGTTGATGTTGTGCGGATGGAGATGGATCTGGTTCTGTGGATGAGGATGAGGAAGAGCATAATGGTGTAGTATCGTCTGTGCTGGTTGCGACGGGAGTGTCATCACCGTCATCGGACAGGAGAATCTCATGAAGTCGTTTTAAGCGAGTATGGATTGTAGGATGTAGTTGCTGTTCCTCAGTGGCGACATCAGCGAGTAGCCCTGCTACCTCTTCCCTGACGATGCGGAATCTCGCTTCAAGCTGCTCGGCTCTGTCGATCGCATTTCGGAACACGGCTTCCTTTTTGAGTCGGTATGTGCGCTGAGCACGACGGACTTGGGTGCGACGATTGGGAGAGAGAATGGCGGTGCTGTTGGTGGTGGTGGCGGTGGTGTCTAGACGGGGCCGTCCTACTGTTTGCTTGATCGACGGGGTGTCATTTCCCACGAAATATCCCTTGTCTGGGCATGTAGGAAGCTTGTTTTTGCAAGGTTGATGTATTTGTTGTATTTACTAGCTTGTCTACTGTCCTGTATGGATTGACTGTGGCAACAGATTTCATCAATTTCTGTACTGCTTGTAGTGTAGGAGTGAAGTTTGGTTCTGATATTGTAATCTCGGGAATGGAGCCTCGGCATAATGTCAACCACCCAACGTTTATTTCTTCTGCTCCACAGACAGTTCCCAACGTTGTCCCAATTTAAAACCCGCCTATTCCACACATTGTTTCTCGGTGGATCATCATATCCGGATCTTGTAGCCTCTCAAGCATGGCTGTATCCATGGCTACGATTTTTGCATTCTTCACTGCTTTTAAGCCTCGTTCGAGCGTCAGCAATGTAGTTTGCAGGACCGAGCAGGCTCAGCTGCTTGATCATACAAACCGTGCCTGATCTGCGTGAAATAGCTTGAGCGATGCTGAAACCATGAAATCCAAGTCAGTGGCACCAGTCTTTACCCTGGCTTCCTCAATGCTCTGCCGACTGGCAATCAATTTCTGCGCCACATGACCCCATTCCACCCTCTGCTTGGGCACATGGACCTCCGAAAACGACGGGCTTATCTCCACGGGTGTCAGTCGACCATCCTTCTTACGCACCTGGCCGTCGACAATGACGGTATTGATATCACGAATTGATGAGTGAAGGGCAATAGCTGCAACCGGGTCCTGCTCGCTCGCGCACACCATCCCCGGGCTGGTTCCGTCGAAGATGACTAGATCGGCAAGCTTCCCCACTTCAATCGAGCCCAACTTATCTTCCATATGTAGGGTACGGGCACCCTGAATGGTTGCCAGACGGAAAACGTCTTGTACGGAGAGGTCCAACGAGCGGGGAGTCTTTCCACGGGCAATGACCTCTTCGTTCCGACGAGCTCGTTCGGCTTGTAACCCAAGACGCATAGCGGTAACCATGTCGCTAGAGGTGCTGCTATGACAGTCGATCCCAAGAGAACTTATCTTACTACATCCCTCCTGGAAGCAGACTGGGTATCCATGTGCCATCTGCAGTTCCGATCCTGGGGTGGAAGAGACCCATGATTTTGCCTTGGACAGCTTCTCGACGTCGCTTGATGTGAGATTTGTTGCGTGGGATAGGATGATATCTGGTCCGAGCAGACCATAGCTATCGAGGAGATCGACAAGTGAATCATCACCTGTTCTGGTTAGTTCTGTACATATTCCGTGTAGGATAACCTACTGAAGTGCCCCCGAACGTAGTGCGTAGTTATAACCTTCGTGCCTGCTTTGCGGGCTCTGTCGTACAGTGATACCACGACATCCTTTGGGAGCATGACCCCATCGAAGCCCAACCCTATTTCGACTCTGCCGTCTCCATATGGAGCTGCAGTAGCGAGATCACTCAGCTGCTTTACCACCCAATCATCTAGAAAATTTCCGCCAGGTACGATCTCCGGCTTCCATGACTTGACAGTGAGAGTGGGGGTGTAGCAGAAAATTGATCTAATTCCGGATGAGACCGTGGCTTGGAGGCCATGCAAAGCTATACTGGGTGAGCCTAAAGCTGGAATAATCGGAGTTTATCCACTTACAATGAGCGGCCGTGACATTCATATGGGCATGATCTACGACCGTTGTGGTGCCGGCATCCAAGGCCTCTAGACAGCCTGCCAGCTGGCCCCAGAAGATATCTTCGGGTGAATAATTGATTTGTTGAAGGTTTCCTACATCTATAAGCAACCAATAGCACCGAGTTCAAGAAATTAACTGACCAGTGGGCATATACTCTATCAAGGTATGGTCGGCATGACGTCCCTTGAGCTGTGTCTGCCACAGATGATGGTGCGTATCAATAAACCCAGGCGACACAATCTTGCCCGTGCAGTCGATGATCTGAGTGTCGGCCGATGGAGGTGCAATATGCGACGAGATCTGCGCTATCTTGTTCCCCTCAATTAACAGAGAGTGCTCGCGGAGTGGTGTAACATCATCCCCGGACGGGACGAGGATGGTCGCGTTCTGGAGCAAGATCGTAGAAGGCATTTTATGACAATGACTTGAAGATTCTATAAAACTTAATCTGCGTGAAGCGGGATATTTATACAAATGTTCCCATGGTTCCGATGACATCGAGCGGGGAAGCTAGGGAGCTCAATTTCCGTGTTCGGATAGGTGGTGTGACTAGAATTCCACGTCACTCCTTTGGGAGTTATTTTGCTGTTCCAGAACAGCCTAATTTGTAAATCTGAAGCTCCGGACACCGAAGACGCGAAATCCGACCGTTGAGCCGGAAGTGCAATCGGACATAGGGGATTGCGGACTTAGCAATTTGTTGAAACCTTATGTTCAATGTGGTATCGGAGATCGATAATAGCCGCCATATAGGACAATTCCATTGATACAGATGGTGCTCTTCGCTGTGGGCGCACTTTTTAAGACTCTGGATAACTTTTAAAATACGCTGTCTTCCAATCCTGTAGTCACTGATGGTTTTTCGCTGTCGCTAATCAAGGGGAAATCATACCCTTTGCATTGGCAGTACTTTGTGCCAGTTATCCCTTACGCAGTGATTTCTAGCTGAATACAATCACTTCAGACCGCAAGTACGCAGCCAGAATGGAATGTATCTGTCAATCCGATAGAAATGTAGGCTCCAGCTAACCCTTTCATCGGTTCTTTGGGTAGGAGAAGCAGGCTCATGTTTGCAGGTCATATCGGAGAATAGTTCACTTCTCTGATCATTGTAGAATTGTAGAATGTTATGAGCTAAGGGGGAACGTAGTGCTGGCCTGACCAAATTAAATAGTCAACAGCTTTCTCGGCAGGCGGTGATTGCCAATGACTATCTGGGCATGAATACTTTATCAGCATCGTATTACCTCAAGCAGCGTATGTATAGAGATAAAAGACCTTTGTTGTTCTCATACTATCACACTGTTTGTGAGGCAATAGAGAGTATTGAGAGAATCACACGTCAAACAACAGACTTCTCAGAAGAACAAAGGAAAAGCGAGTTGGCAATTGTTGATTGTATGACAACTCCAGTGGAATCAAGACTGAAATCATAGGAAACTTGAGAGCTCAAGCACATGACTGTTACCAAGTGGTATGGTAACCCCGCCTTCCAAATTAGGTATACTATAACCTGTCAGTAAACATGACGCTACAATCCACATATCCTACGAGAGCTTATCCAAATACACCTGCTCAGGTTCCTAACTTGACAATAAGCTAAGGTGCCCCTGAACACAAATCACAATGGTATTGATTCCTCTTATCTCTCTACCTCGGCACGTGAAACATCCAGCCTTATAATACCCCCCCAATGGCAACACCACCATCAGAACAACAATCACAAGATCTGATTTCCACCATCTACTCCCACCACTCATATAAAACGCTCAGATCTAAACACACCAACAATTCTATACATCTAAGCCAACAGCACAACAAATCCACCCACTCATCATATATACACCAAAGTCTAAGTCTATCAAGCCTCTAGTCTACCATCACACCACCCCACCCCCCACTATGCATGCCCCTCACCAACTCACTCCTTAGTTCCTCCCCGCCTCCCTCTCAGCCACCATCTCAGCAATATGCGGATTCAACCAATACTCCCCCAACACCTCCGTACTCAAGTTCTTCGCACCATCAATCCGTCCCTTACATTTCTCCCCACTGCCACACGTACACTCAAAAGGCTGATCCATCTCCCACTCCGTTGACGGGTAGAAGAACGTTAACGGTTCCCCCGCCTTCAAGTCGCGGTTATCCACCACCCGCACCTCCATGTTGTGCATGTCGAAGTTGACTGTCGGATCGCACGAGTGGTTGCAGTACACCAGATCGGAGTTCAACTCGATGTGGCTGTCCCGTCCCGTTTGCACAGATGTGTAGGCTTTCTTGGACGGTGTGGTCCCAGTGATTTTGCATAGCAGGGAGCCAGCGGGTGCGGACACCAGACTGTATGCCCCGCTGGCGAAGGGGATCGGGCTGCGGTTGACTTGGATTAGGTGGGGGTGAGTGGGAGTAGGTTCTTGTGTTGTTGTAGCGGTGGTGGTTGTGGTTGTCATTGTGGTTGCCATTTTGGAGGAGAGGTAGATGGAGAAATAGTAGTGATAGTGGTGGTGGTAGTAGTAGTAGTAATATAGGTTGTATTGTAGGTAGATAGTTAGGTAGGTGGGAAGAAGTTAAGAGCGTTACTGGGAGTACCGACGGACACCTCTTCCCCTCCTTAAGTATCGGCGCAAAGGACCTCCAGCATGTTGCATCGGCCGAGGATGTCTACAGACGAGTGGATCTGGCAGCAGATGATGACGCAGGACTATTGGCAGAGTCATGGAGTTTAAAGTGGGAGGGCGGGAATGATCACGGAACAGGCACCTTGTTTATGGTTATCTGGTGGATCAGCCGAGGTACATCACGTAATAGTACTGGGTTGTCTGCATTAGAGTGCAGTCCTATTCTTGATGCGTGCATGAGTTTCTTAGTCTAATTTTTGGGCCCAATAAACCAGGTAGTTAGTTAGTTTGAAATATCGACATCAGTCCACGCCATTCCACACATCCCCGCTTCTATTGAACATCCAAACAAAGGACGACCAGAACCAGCACAAACTCAATTCAACCGCACCGTAAACTCCTGTCCATTCAACCACCGCTCGAGATTCTGGGCCACTTCTTCATACCACCCATGGATCTGCTCATCCACATATCCCATATGCGGTGTCAAGAGCACCTCACTCCGCCCATCCTTCCCCCACGCCGTCGTTCTCCACAGACTATCCGCCGGCAACGGCTCGGTCTCAAACACATCCAACGCCGCCGCGGCAATCCCACCCCGATTCAGCGTCTCCAACAACGCCGTCTCTTCCACCAACGGGCCGCGTGACGTGTTCACAAGCAGGGCCGACTTCTTCATCGCTCCGAGCTCCTCCCGCCCCACGATCCCCCGACTCCGCTCCGACAGAACATTATGTAAACTCACCACATCCGCCTGCCGGAAGAAGTCCAGCTTCTGGGGAATGGCCTCAAAGCTACCTGCAGGTAATCCCATCGCCTCTGCTTGCTCGTCCGCTTTCTCCTGCGTTAGGTTCGTCGACCACGCAATCACCTTCATCCCGAACGCCTGGACTGCTACCCGCCCCACCTGCGCCCCGAGCTTCCCGACACCGAGCAACCCGAGCGTTCTGCCTGCCAGCGACAGACCAAGTGATCCCTGCCATTCGCCGCGTTTGATGGCTGCGTCGTCGCGCGCAATGTGTCGTGCTGCTCCGAGGATCAGTGCCCACGTGTGTTGCACCGTGGAGTGGACACCGGTGAGGCGGTACTTTGTGCCTGCGACGGGGATGCCCCGCTCCGCGCAGTAGGCGGAGTCCAAGGCGAGGTTGCGCGTGCCGGTAGTGAGGAGAAGCTTGAGGTTGGGGAGCGCGGACAAGGTCTCCTTGGAGAAGGGAGTGCGTTCGCGCTGAGTGACGATAACCTCGAATGGGTACAGGCGCTGGATGAGTTGCTTGTGCTGGGCGGGGTCGCGCGGGTTCAGAGTGTCGGGGAAGTAGCTGATGTCGACGCGGGAGGTCAGGTGGGCAAAGTGCCGGGGGGAGATGTTTTGGTAGTCATCGAGAATGGCGACTTTGGGAGGCATCCTGATGGTGTGTCTATGTAGAATGAATGCGTGTAGAGGTGATGGATAGAAAGTAACTATCTATGGTGATTAATAATTGGTAGGAAAAGCCGGCTTATAACCCGGGATGAGGGTATATCCGGAACCCCGCGATGAGCTCAGATTCTCCCCGCACCGATCATCGGAGGGGCAACTTCGGATAAAGGGTCTTGATGCAGGGACAGTACTCTAAATCTCTAATTTTAAAATATATAGTGTATATGTACCATTATCGACATTAAAAGGGGATATTTCATTCCTGAGCACCATACACCCAACTAAACTACGAAACAAATACTTTTCATTTTGTCCCACTGTAGATCTACCCCGGATACTCCACTCCACCACCCATCCCAGCAAACAGATCATGGGAGCACAGAGCTATTCCTCCATACTGCTATCAGGTTACATCCACCCGGCAGATCAACAAGCTATCCTAAGTAGCTCCCAGCACCTATCCAAATGTCCAAACATCCAAACAGCGTAGCACACCACCACCACCACCACCACCACCACCTCCTACATCCCCTCCCCCTCCCACTCCGCCGCCCTCTCCAACATCCCAACACTCGCCCTAAACAACACCCTCTCCCCATCCCGATCCGCAACCTCCCACCTAGTTTCAAAATCCACTCTATAAAACCACAACGCCTCTTCCACCGCCCACCCCTCCCGAAACATCACCTCCGGTTCACCACGACAACACGCCCCCGCACCATCCCGGAGCTTATTTTCCTCGGACAAGACGACACTCCCGTCCTGGATACGAGCATTCAGCAACTCCCTGCTCTTTTCGTAGATGGATTCGAGAAGCGCGCCGACGTCGGCGTGCAGGATGCGTGTGGTCAGGTCGGCGTTGTTGGCCACGCAGTCGCGGCCTGTCGTGATGTAGATGGTGCCGAGGTGGTCTAGGGGTGCCGGGCCGGTGAAGGATGGGTGGTTGATGAGGCGTGTGCCCGTGGGGGTTATTTGGGGGGTGAGGGATTGGGATAGATGGTGGAGGGAGGTGATGCGGTCGTGGAGGGGGAGGAAGGGGAGGTGCGTTAGGTAGGTTGTTAGGGTTGGAGGTTGGTGGTGATGATGATAATGAGTGTGGTTGTGGGGGAGGAGGTTTGGGGGGTTCATTTTGGATGGGCTTGATGGTGTGGGAACGGTTTTAATGATGGTGGTGGGGTTGGGAGATTGAAGACTGACAATTCGATAGATCATACTTGTGTTGACTTTTTATACTACTTGCTGGGGGCGTGACTTTTGTGGCTTCATGGTTTGTGTTACTGTCATGATGGTCTGATTGAGTGGTACTTTTCATTTCATGCTAGGGTGAGACTGTGGAATCAATGTATAAATGTATAGTATGGAAGCTATATAAAGTATGATGATGCATAAAAATCAATTCAGTCAGGTCGTCACGGTTGTGCTCGTCGTCCCACGAGTTTGTACATAGATTCTAAAAGGCTTATTCCAGCATTTGCTCCCGTTTTTCTTTCCGTCGCTGATCCACTCAGAGTTTGTTTTCTGTCAGCTTTGTCACTGCCATTTTCCATGCTACCGTCATATTGCTTTTGTCCATCACCACCGTCACCACCATTGCCTCCATCACCACCATTGCCTTCACCACCAAAATTACTGCCAGTTCCAGTGCTGCTTTTTGCTCTAGTGCTGCTGCCTGATCCACTATAGCTTTGGGAACTGTTTCCATTATTGCTGTCATCGTCGTCGCCATCGTCGCCGTTTGCTTTCCGAATGAGCCTTTGCCGATAGCGATGTGCCTCTTCCCTGAGATTCCTCAATGCAGTAACCCCATTCTTAACAACTGCGACGAGCTGATCTTGCCCGAGATCCCTATCAAATAACTTGAACGCCTTAATCGCCGTAATCTGAAAGTCCATCCTTCTCCCCTCTTCTTGAGGAGGAATAGGATGAACAGCGTAGATAGTCATATGGGTAGTCGCAAGCACGGCAACGAATGTGTGCGCCTTTCCGCTAAATTCAATATAGTCTTTTCCATAATGCTCGAGCTCAAAGAGTGCCCGTGCTCCAAGAGCACCACTATGCAAAGCAGCACGTTCTCCAGCAAGTCGATCGTCATGCTTGCATATGTTGTATAAGAAGAAATTCGGCAAGATCATCTTGTCAGGATCTTCTTTGTCTTCTTTCGCACCTTCCAGGAGGTGATAGGGGGTGATATATCCCTCAAGTTCTGTGTGTATTGTTGGTTGGTCTCCTTTTTGGTCTGTGCTTTTGTCTACCCCCTTCCCCTTTCCCGTCGCCTTGTCCTTTCCCTGCCCAATTCCTCTTTTGCCCGACCACACAGGCTCACTTCCCGAACTCTCCTCCTTCACTTGGCCCACGAGGGCCTTCGGATCGGCTCCATCGACGAGATCAGGCCTGGCCGAAATCATGTGCGGCACTATGGGATTCATATTGTAGAAATGCTTTTTGAGTGCTGTTATCGTTCCCTCTAACGGTCCATCTGTATGCCTCCTGGTGCTGTCATATCGGGCGCCGAAGAGGTTCAGGTAGATGCCTGGCAGCACGTTGCTATTAGTCTTATATTGCCTGCACATATTACCAATGCCACGCGCTGCCCCAGGACCAAAATTATCCAGATCGGATCGATTCTGCATCATTATCCGTCGAAGATCACCGATATTGAACGGCTCGCGCTCCCTACCAAACCGTTTCTCGGCCCCGTTATGATTCAGATAGCCTTCTAAATTCATGTCGTAGATAGCGGGCATACTGAGTTTGGGGACATCGAATTCGCGGTTTCGATTGTTACGATGTTGATACTAGATTAGACATTAGCTTGTAATGAATCTGGCTTATAGTAAAAGGCAGAAGCCTACATCACACAGGTGCGTCAGATCTGGCCCGCCTCTTCTCGCAAAGTCCTCGACAGACTTGCAGTCAGTTTTCAAAGGTGGTGTCTCGTCACGACCGTTTCCCCATCTGATCTTTCCTTCGCGGTGGCGGAACTCCATAAGTGCGCTGTAAGTCAAATGGATCTTTGGATGCTGATCCCAGTATTGCTGGCTGAAAAGCTTTCTTTGCCTTCGACGGGCAGCCGACTTCTTCGTTTTTGCCATTCCTCCTTTCAAGGGCAGTGGATCTAGATGACGAGCTGGTTGGGATACTTGCGGAGGGCTGGTGTGCTGGGATTTTAGCTCGCGTTTGACACGCTTTGCGCTGGCCTTTTGGTGGGGTTGGTTGGCGTTTGGCGGAGTGTGTGCCATAGTGGTACAGTGCGGTTGATCTTTCTTTTTGTAGGAAGTGTTGGATTTGACCATGACACATCTTGAGAGTCCCGCCCTGCTTTGCTTCTACATATAGGCGGGTTGGTTGCACAGTGCATTGTAAACGCCGGGTTCATTGTTTGCCTGTGTTGGTTCTTTGTTTCAGCGGTATGGTGTTGCTGACAACAGTGGTCTATTGTCTAGTTCAGGTGTTAGAGACTTTGTTCACTAGTTTCAGGCAGAAGGGTGTTCAAGAAATCTTTGAGATTTTATTGTAGACTGCTCAATAGAAAGAGCTTCCCTTGTTTGTGATACTGTGGTATCTATATACAGCATCATGTTCTACCCTTAAGGCAGGTGCATTGTTCAGACGGCTAATACCTGACGTATAATGCTCATTATACTTTTCTATTCCTGAAACACTCCATAATGACTTCCATTGTTTGCCTAGACGCCCATTATGCTATTCAAACACCGCCAGCAAAGTCTCACACCTTCAAACCCATTCAAAAATATCTAACAAACAAACATCAGCGAAAGCATTCCCATTTCCTTTATGATCATTGTTATTGTTATGATAGATTACTATAAGCACATAGCCTACTATAAGCATCTATGGCTTCTCCACCTTCCCCCTCTCTCTCGTGTACACATCCCTAGCATCATTCAATAGATTCAATCCAAAATGGAAAAATTGGAACAACTCGTGAGTGAGTTCAACTTTCACAAGAAACAGTGGCTGACTGAGAACAGGATATCATCGTCGCAGACCGTTTCAAACTAGTCAATTACATCTCTTCAGGAACCTATGGCGAAATCTATGAAGGTAACCCCCCATCTCTCTTTCCCCCTTTACACAGACTAACCATCCCAGCAACCGACCTCAACACCAAATCCAGAGAGCGCGTTGCGCTCAAAATGGAACGCACCAAGCTCTTTGATTCCCTCACCAGGGAGTCATTCTTCTACGAGAAGCTCCAAAAGGGCAAATCCACCGGCATGCTTAAACTCCACTTCCCTACCGACGTCTGTGATGAGTACCGCGTCATGGGTATGGAACTTCTAGGCCCCAGTCTCTGGGACCTCAGATACTTCTGCGGGGGAGAATTTAGCCTCAAGACAGTTCTTTTGATAGCCGACCAAGCGATTTGTCGATTAAAGTCTTTGCATGACCAGGGTATTATCCATCGGGATTTGAAGCCGGATAATTTCCTCATGGGGAGAGGCCGTGAGGGAAATAAGATTTATCTTGTGGATATGGGCCTGGCGCATGAGAAGGTGCTGGCACCTGGCAATCCGATGAATCATAACGGAGATCAGGCAAATTCGTTCTTGGGTACGAACGACTATGCACCTAGGGCTGCGCATCAGTTGCATTGTATGTTATCCCTTATTACCATTCTGACGATATACTAGTTGCTGCAGAATACTAACCTTCGTGTAGGTCAGACGTATCGTGATGACATGGAGAGCTTTGGCTACGTGCTCATTGACCTTCTCAAAGATAAATTACCCTGGAGTGGTATGACAACTACTATCGGGGGGCAAAGTCCCGAACAGCAGATGGGCAGCAAGAAAAGACGTATCACTTTGGATGAATTGTGCGAAGATCTCCCAGCAGTGTTCAGACAATACTTTGAACACGTGAGATCGCTGCGCTATAACCAGCGGCCGAACTACTCTAAGCTCCGGCAGAGATTCGCAGCCGAATTCAAGCGGCAGGGATTCAGCCACAACTATGTCTTTGACTGGACAGAAAAGCGCTTTAAGGAAGCAATTGCAGAACCAGCTGAGGAAGCGTATGTATCTTTTTCGTCAAGTAGCAACCTTAGCTAGTAGCGAAATATCTACTCTTCTCTAGAACACCCGAAACAACCCCACCATAAGGATAAACAGAAACAGATAGATAGTACAGCACTACTCAAAGCCAAATTGAAACTACCACTCACTCCAACTAAACCAACTTCTCCCCCACAAACTGCTCAAACCCCCTAACCCCCTCCACCAACCCCAACGTCTCCTTCACCTTCCCCTCCTCATACCCCCCATAATACCCAACCTCTTCATAAAACCTCAACATATCCACGACCTGCCACCCCTTCTGCCCCGGCATGAACCCGGCATACACCTCCTCCTCCATCCTGACATACCGAACCTCCTTGCCCATCACCCTACCCATAATCTCCACCACCTCCTCAAACGACCAAACCCCATTAGCCGCATAAACCCTCTCAGTCTCCCCCGTCAGAATCGGAACCACAAACTTCCCCAAATCCCTCACCGCATCAATCAGCGGGATCTTCTTCCCCCCATCCATAACATTATACACAACCAAGTCCGCCTTTTCCTCCGGATCAGGAAGAGGCCTCATGAACGTCTCGAAATTCTGCATGAACATGCCCGGATAGAACACTGATACTTTGATGCCGTGGGATGAGGAGAGTGTGCGTAGTGCCTCCTCAGCAGCGAACTTCGAGTCGAAGACGTCTACTTCCCGCCCGTGAGGGTGGGCGGGCACGGCACTGCTGAAGATGATGTGTTTGATGGTGCTGGGACATGCGGAAATGACGTTTTGTACTTGTGTGAGTTCTTGGTATTTGAGGTCTGGGACTGAGTAGTCCGTTAGGGTTATTAGGATTAGGGTGTGCGTGTTGGTTAGGGCTGGGGTGAGGGTGGCTGGGTTGTTGAGGTCCGTGGGGAGGACTTCGATGCTTTGCTTGGTGAGGGATTGGGCTGTTGGAGAGGATGGGTTGCGGACTAGGGCGCGGAGAGTGTATTCGGTTCGCAGGGTTGGGTGGTTGGTTATAGCGGAGATAATGGAGAGGCCTTGTTGGCTGGTGGCGGGGAGGATGGTGAGGATTTGGGGGGACATTGTGTGGTTAGGTGGTTGAGATTTTATGATGTAAGTGTGTATTGATTGGTTGGTTGTTGAGTTACGGTTGTGGTAGTGGTGAAGCTGCTGTATTAAGTATACATAGTATACTCAGACTTTGTATATACATCCGGTCGGAGATTGTATGGAGGCCGGATCCTGCGTTGCATCTAGTCGTTAGGGGCGGATATAGACGGCATGGGGACTGGTCGGTGTCCGGGTTCTTAGAACCGGCATGGGCCGAGGGTGTCACGAATTTAGTTGCTTAGCTTAGAGATGAATTTTTGTCCAAGTAGGATTTAGAAGTATGTTAGAATGGTATAATTGCTTCTCTTGGGCACAATATTGTATAATTATGATGATTGTCTATTAGATCTACTATTATTTATCCCTTGCATACGCGGACAGAAAAAGTTAGATCGGTAGATACATTGGGGGACAACCAGTGCACGTGGCTCGCTTACTATTCACCCCTTGTATGAGACTACATGATATGGCATCGATCTGTCTACCAAGGTCCTTGATTTATTTGCACTTTTGAGTCCCATGGACATGGTACCCTGTAGCCAGACCCCGGCTCCACTTTCCGCCCGGAAGCTGCAAGCTTAACGTTGACACTTTAAGTCGACCACAATCTTCATAGATCTGGACAGTCTCCCCATGGCAGGTTTGATGCTAAAAGCTTTTTAGTAAGAACTCAGAAAACAGTTATTCGGCATGCATAAAAGTCCGTTCATTGGGTAACAGTGAGTGATAATCCATTCAATGAAACGCCGAAACACTACCCATTCAGCCTTATCTCGTAAGTTACCTACGGTCCCACCGCAACATTTTATGCCTCACAGAGGCGCCATCCCCTCAAACTGCTCAGCCCCTTCCGTAGCATCAAGCCAACATACCCGTCTCTTGGTAAAGACTTCATGTCCTGGCTTGTATCTATTTACTGTCTCATCATCGAAAATACCAGCACGCACGACCCTGAAATCACCCGCGCTTCCATCGGCATTTACTTTATATCCGAAGAGCGGCGTACCTACCAGCACCATAGGTCAATTGATGTTATGCAGAAATTGAGTGATCGACATATCCACATACCACAGTCACCACAGAAATGGTTCACGATCCGAACTCCGCTGTCAGACGTCTTGGGTAGCTCTTTGGGATTCCCCGTGATTTTCACGTTGTCATCTTTGAACACGAAGTTGTAGGAATACAGAGTGCCTGTGACTTTGCGGCAGTCATGGCAGTGGCAGAGGGCCTATTTCTTAATTAGAAGAACTATTCTTGTTGAAGGAGGGTAGATACCTAGTCAGGTACTAACCACTATCATAGGCTCGCCACTAAGCTCAATTTGGACATTCCCGCAGAAGCAGCTGCCTGTCGTCATTGTCAGAGTATGGGTTGTTGGATATTATATACAGAAAATATCTTTCTGAAATGTGCCTTATGAAAGTTCTTCTGCACTGGGAGTGATGAGGCGGCTATATATTCAAGTTAAAAGGGTGAGCTGAGAACAGATTACAAAGCTAAGGTAATCCCAACGTAAGCGGGTTGGGGTTGAGGTAGGTAGTTATTGAAGCCCAACACCTCCCCGTTGAGTCATCGTGGCGGCGTTTCAGCTAATTAGTTTTCAACTACTAGTGCATTGGTGGCAACTATATACGAATCAGCGAACTACTATAACTACTGTACAGTGTTATCTGGGATACCTCATCGGCCTGAGGAGTAGAGTGACTAAACTAGGCCTCGGACCTTGCGAAAGACAAATCAGCCATAGATCTACTAAAACAAGAGTCTTTCCTTGAGCGAGCGGGGTATTAGTGTAGCATAGTAAGTAGTATTAGTCTGCATTACTCTAATTTAGCACTGCCTATTCTTATCATATAACGCCTTACCCCTTGTCTTAGTAACGTATATATGATACTTTGCCTGCAATGCTTGAAAGTTGCTTGATTTGAGACCACTCATTATTTACTATCCGACCAAAAAAAAAAAAAAGAAAAATCAATTAATTCATAAACTATTCTATTCCTACACACTGATGCTACAGATGGTTTTGCAGAGTAAGCCAGCGTACCCGGAATATGACTCTATCTATTCTCTGCAACTTGGCTGACCAAAATTATCTTCCAGTACAATTTGTAAGTGAAAGAGGCGATCCTGTACGAATAAGAATGTAAAAATTACTATTAGTGCCTCTCAGTCCTTACAATGAGTCTGTATAGGAGAGAAGCAGGTGGGCTGCCGCAAGGGGCAGCCCGGGCGGGCGCATTGTGTTGTCGGGCTGCAGTTCGGACTGGCTTATCAAGGAGCCGTCCGAGTGTCTGTACGTCAATGGAAATTAATCCTCTCGTCCTCCGAAAGAGAATTTCATCACAGGGCAGCAATCCTATGACCCTGAACCCAAACCATCTCTCCGATGTCTAGACGAATCAATCTCAATATTACATCTCTTTTCCGTTTGCCCTGGCAAGCACATTGCCGCTTCATGGGACTGAAGCAACACGCGGCCCGCAGCTTCCATTCTGGGACTGCGGCAAATTACGACCTGTACTCTTATACATCTGGTAGATTTATTTTTAACGAATCACTCCGGCTACACGAACGCTACGTTGATTTCGATCATATTGCTCTTTTACGAGAAACTGAAAAGTTTGTCGGTAGAGACCATGGGCATGCTACTCACATCGCTAAATTAGCAGAGGGTGGCTTCAATCGTGTCTTCCTCATAACAATGGATGACGGATTCGAGGTTATTGCGAAGATACCATATCGCTTTACCGGTCACAAGTAATATGCCACTGCTAGCGAAGCTGCTACCCTATGCTTCCTCCATGCAAAAGGCATCCCTGTGCCCCGGCTATATGGGTATTCGTCTTCAGAGGATAACCCTGTCGGTGTGGAATACATCCTAATGGAGAAGGCAAAGGGTGTTGGATTACAGAATTAATGGCATGGCATGAGCAAACGTGATCGGCGTGAGCTTGCATCGAGCTTCGTTGAGATTGAGAAGAAGTTCTTCAACATTCCTTTTGGCTCTATGGGGAGCCTTCACTTCAAAACGGACATTAAGCAGGACCATCAGGCTGCACTATATGCTCCCGACGTACCACACAACGAAGACTCTGAAGTATTCTGTATCGGTCCAACAGCGGATTACATGTTTTCGTACGGTAAAAGAGCCGCTCTGAATATTGATCGTGGACCCTGTGAGTTTCTATGTCGGACATGATAATTCCTCCATTTTCTCATCTTCACAGAGAACAACCATAAAGTGTACCTAGCGTGTATTGCTAGAAAAGAGGCTGAATGGATCCGCTGCTTTGGGAAACCAGTTGAATTGGACTTCCCATATAATGGCGTCTTTCCTGGGTTGAAGTATCCGGCTGATTACTTGCCACTTCTGGACAAGTATCTCGCCTTAGTTCCATTTCTGCTTCCGAAGGACACAAATAGCCGTCTTAATAAACCAACTCTTCGGCATCCTGGTAAGTCTTCAAACTGTGTCGTGCCATCGTTCATTCTAATAAGTCAAAGATATGAACCCAAACAATATCTTTATTTCACCAGAGTCTGGTGCTGTGTCTTGTATCATTGACTGGCAGCACACCTTCATTGAGCCACGCCTGTTGGCAGCTGGCTATCCTCGTGCATTTGAAATCCCTGATCTCCAACAGTCAACTGATCTTAGAGAACCATCACTTCCTTCGAACTATGTGGCCCTGTCGTCCCAGGTAAAAGCCGAGGCGGATGAACTCTACCGGCGACGTTTACTATCTTATTATTACCATATCTTCAACGGTCATTACAACAAACCCCATCTTGAAGCTTTACGTGACCCCACTCTGCTTCCCCGGCAGCATCTCGTTGATAGGGCGGGCCGTCAGTGGAGTGGAAATCTAGTCACTTTGAAGGGAGCTTTAGTCCGGATGGTGGAATATTGGCCTCACCTACCTGATACAGAGGGGAAGCACTGCCCTATAAGTTCTCAGCGGAAGAACTGAATGACTCTCACGATGAAGAACAAACATGGCTCAATCTGAACAAGGTGGTGAGTCAGTGGTATGATCAAGTCGGTGGTGTGTCCGAAGAGGGATGGGTCAGTAACGAACGCTATGATGAGACTGTCCAGAGAGTTGCGGAACTCAAGTCTGCACTAATAGCGAGTGCGGAAGGGGATGAGGAAGACATTCGGCTGTTGGAAGAAGGATGGCTATTTAGGGATCGTGACGAAGTTTATTAACTTGAATTGGGCTCCTTAATACATGATTGGAAAATTCTGTGAGCGAACCATTGATGGTCTAACTTCTTCAAGGGCTAGATTAGTAGTCGTATTGTATTATTGTAATTCCATACCATATTATAGCCAAGTACTGACACAATAGAAGAGCAAGAGCTGACATGATAGTATTATGAAGAGATAAAAACAAGAAAAGAACATCGAAGGCGTTTAACAAAGTATCTTATATATCGGTTCCTTTCACTCCGTATCCATCGCCATAATTACTAATACCGGGAATAATGAATACAAATAACCCAATCTTATAAGTGAAAAAGCTTGCCGGATTCGAACTATTAACCAATAGTTTGAAATACTTACTGCCTGGGGGGAAGACCTGCTGGATAAAGTATGTAGTCTTGCAGAGGCAGATGATACCTCAGGTCACATTAGAGCTATCTGAACATAAGAAACAGTATCCACTGTGGCTGTAATGACATGTAGTAGAAAAAGAAATAGAAGTAAAAGAAATATATCAGGCCAATGCCGTAACCGAGCACTCCTGCTCCATCGCCGCAGGCACGCCATGTGACTTGTCACCTGCGGCTGACGGGCTCAACGAAGAGAAAAGTAGAAACAATGTGGGGAATTTAACACAGTGAAAGCGAAAGGAAATGGAAGAACAAAGAGAAGTGATCAACACGAAGGAAATCCTAGCGCATCCCAATGCTTATGAGGAAAAGACACAGACGGAAATAGACAAAGAAAGTAGCGAGGACACCAACAGACCAGTCGCTTCTGGTTCCAGGACTTGGCACCAGATCACCGTATCCTACAGCCCAAAGTAGGGAAAGTTCGATCATCAACATCACGTCGTCCCTTATACGTAATCGTTCATCCCACTCATTTGGTCGTGACTTAGACGTTCTTATACAGTAGTAGGGGTTCGCCAACATTTTCGATCTCGGGAATCGTGCACTTGAGGTCAAAAGCCTTGGCTAGGACAATCTTGAAGATCTACCATGCTGTCAGCGATAGCATCAGGTAATACTGCATGAATTGATAACATACCTTTTGCACGTTGATGCTGTGGCTTGTACTGCTGAAAATCAAGCTGGCTTTCATGGCCTTGGCAAACCGTTTCGCCTATAGGTGGTCAGTGCGCGCTAAGACACCTCACATGCAATCTCACTCACCTGAATTGAGATCTCCTCCTGGTCCTCGCGGGGAAAGTTGACGAAGTGGTCATATTTGGTACCGATCAGGAAGGGAATGGCCGTCTTGTTGAACCCGCGACCTTGTCGGTACCACTCCTTGATCGAGTTCAGTGTGCTTTTGCGCGTGAGATCGAACATGAACAGAATTGCGACAGCATCGTTGCACACGAGGGGAAGCATGTTGACGAATTCGCGCTGGCCACCCAGATCCCAAATAGAGAACGTAATTTCCGTATTCCGAATGGAGATAGTCTTCTCCATGAAGTTGACGCCTTGACATCACGGTCAGCATTATCATTCCTAACTGCGCGAAGATTCCGCTGCATACCGAGAGTCTGGATATAATCCTCATCCCAACTACCCTCGACATATTTTACCATCAAACTGGTTTTTCCGATCTGAGCATCTCCGACCATTCCCACCTTGATGACAACACTGTTCTTGGCTGCTTGCGACGGTTGCTTTTGGCTGATGTCGTGTGTAGGCTGGGGCAGGCTGTTGGACATTTCGGAGCTGGGGCGGGATGACGATAAGGGTTGCGGCTGATGAGTTAGCGGGGAGAAGTTCTGTCGAGGTTGGTCGTTTTCATTGTGAAAATCGCGAGCCGGGGAGTTGAATTCGTGGGAGGAGTAGTGGGCGCGCGAGTCGCTACTGTAGCCATTTGAAGTTGTGAACTCGTCTGGTCCCGCCAGTCCGAGGCTTGCGGGAGCGGGTGTATCAAGGCTCTGGGGCTGCTCCAGATGCGCCTGATTTGCGACATCTGAAGCGCCGGCCACGGGCAGTTGCGAGGCATCCATATTTGGATGACAGATGTTGGGTTCGGATGGTATCTGTGGGTGGTGTGGATTAGTCCCAGGCGTAAACACGGTCGAAGTCCGGTGGAGCGGGGATGCTGAGACCAACCGAATTTGAGGATTTGGGATCACAGCACCGGTTTCCCGGAACCCATCCAACGGAACAAAATCGGACGATGACAAAGGGGAGGAGAGAATGATCTAGTTAGGTGGTTACTGATTTGTCAGTTATCATATTTGGGATGCAAGCTTTATAGCTTGGGACCCGGACTGGAGCAATGAGCGGGAAGGATGGATTTGGGTAGTGGTGGTATGCACCTTTTGTTGCAGAAACCAAACAATGTGACAGGTGCACTAGCCGGTGTGGAATGATGGGGACGATAAGGAAGCAACTTAGCGGCACCAAGCAGAGACCAGAGAGAGTGAGTAAAACGAAGGCGGTGCCAACCACGGAGCAACAGCAGAGCAGCACCAACAAGAGGGAAAGAAGGACAGGGCCAGCTGAGGAGTGAGGAGGGATGAGGAACAGCCCCTTGGAGGAGAAAGCAAGACAAGCAAACACAGCCGCAGCTCTCCAGAAAGCAAAGCCAGCAAAAAGCGGGCGCCAGTCTCCGATCGGGTCTATTCCCCGATAGGCTTAGCGCCCTTGTCCCGTGAATTTCGGCCTGGCGAACAGAAAAAAAAAAAGTTCCCCGAGTCTCGCGGCCAGGAAATTCAGTCAGTCTTCTGCTCCTCAACCGGGTTTGTGGACGACCGACATTTAATTTTAATTCCCCGACACCTACACGTCCCACCGGTTCATCATGTCCAAGAGATCCGCCGACGTCTCCGACGAGCAGAACGCCGCCCTCAAGGCTGGTGAGCGTCCCGTCGTCGATGCCCCTCCCGATGAGGTGGGGGAGTTCGAGGACGAATATGAGGATGAGTTCGAGAGTGAAGATGAGGTTCTCGAGGCTGGTGTAGATGGTCGTCCTGATGCCGAACGGGAGGAGGAAGAGAAAGGTACGATTATGCGCCCAATGCGACGGGTCCTGCCAATCGCATACTGCCATCCTCGATTGCGGCAGCCATACTGACCCCGACTGGTTCTTCAGATGCCATGGAGGTAGACAAGCAGACTTTCATTCCCGGAAGGACAAAATTGGCGCCCGGAGAGGTTCTCTCTCCTGACCCGTCTACGTACGATATGCTGCACACTCTCAGCACGCCGTGGCCCTGTCTATCGTTCGATATCGTGCGCGACTCCTTGGGCGACAACCGCAAGACTTACCCCGCTACTGTCTACGCCGTGACGGGCACACAAGCTGAGGGTAGACGGGCAAAGGAGAACGAACTGATGGTATTGAAGCTCAGCGGCATGAGCAAGATGGACAAGGAAGATGGCATGGACTCGGACAGCGACTCCGATTCGGACGACGACAGCGAGGCGATCCTCGAACACAAGAGCATTCCCCTTGGATCGACAACCAACCGTATCCGCGCCCACCAGACCCCCAACCAGTCCGGAGACTACTCCAAGCCCCCGCAGACTATCACCGCTACGATGCTCGAGAACTCCCAGGTTGTGATTCACGATGTTACCCCCCATCTCACCAGCTTCGATGTCCCCGGAACTATCCTCCCTCCTTCCGCCAACAAGCCCCTGTCTACTCTCCGCATGCACAAGTCCGAGGGATACGCCCTCGACTGGTCCCCGCTGCAGCCCCTCGGCAAGCTGTTGACCGGTGACAACGACGGATTGATCTACGTGACGACTCGCACCGAAGGTGGTGGCTGGGTCACCGACACTCGTCCCTTTACCGGCCACATGTCGTCTGTTGAGGAACTGCAGTGGTCCCCCAACGAGAAGAACGTTTTCGCTTCTGCCAGTAGTGACGGCAGTGTCAAGGTATGGGACGTTCGCTCGAAGTCGCGCAAGCCTGCTGTCGACGTGAAGGTCTCGAACACCGACGTCAACGTCATGAGCTGGTCCAACCAGACTTTCCACCTCCTTGCGACAGGTGCGGATGACGGACAGTGGGCTGTCTGGGATCTGAGACACTGGAAGCCGAATGCCGCGGGATCTCAGACCACAGCCTCCCCTGTCGCTTCGTTCGACTTCCATCGCGAGCCCGTGACGAGTATTGAGTGGCACCCGACCGACGACAGTGTCGTCGCAGTCGGATCCGCCGACAACACGGTCACTCTGTGGGATCTGGCCGTGGAATTGGACGAGGAGGAGAACCGTGAGGCGGGAATGCAGGAAGTTCCGCCGCAGCTACTGTTCGTGCACTACACGGAGTCCGTCAAGGAAATCCACTGGCAGGCCCAGATGCCCGGTACGATCATGGCTACGGGTGGTGCTGGATTTGGGTAAGTCATATTCCACTCTTTCCTCTCATATGGACACAAAGCTAACTATCAAACAGTGTGTTCAAGACAATCAGTGTGTAGACGAAAGTTCAACAAAAGTGCCAATTTAAACGAATGCATATAGGTAGTTTGGTGCGTTTTGATGCGTTATACCACATGATCGGTTATGTTATTGCTTTATGATGAATTATATAGATTACAATGATGAAGCATGATGCCTATGTCTTAGTGGTTTGTAAACACTGAACTCTTATATTTAATCTGAGTGATATTTTAGTTGTGATACGGGTATATCCATTTAACCAATTGCTCATGATTCATGTAGTAATAGTAGTAGTTGAACCCCTCAATTCAGTTGACCCAGTTTGACCCTGGCTTAAGTCTCCACTTTCCTTGTTTTATGTAGGAATCATGCTGGGCGGGATGACCCGGATCTGCTGCGCAGCTCAGCTCCACCTTGCACACTTGTGCCCTAAAATGACAACAGCAGCAGCAGCAGCAGCAGCAGCGACATCGTTCGCGGTAGGAAACATGGCACTGCTACTAGTCCTCATATATAAAGCCACCAAGTTCCCAATATAGAGAGAAAGGCAGAGAGAGCATACTGAAACCGCCGACCGCGCCAATGCCAGAGTCACTCCCCGCCACACCCACCAATGACATATCCATCCGACCGGATCAAAACGACGTTCCCACGTCAAGGTAGGTGTGTGGGCGATAGAAGCATATAACTGTAGAGGGATCATTGGCTACCTGAGTCTTGTGGCTCACTGTCGACCGGCTAACTGGCTAGTAGCAACGACCTCCCGGTGTTATTGCTGCTTGATTCGGGTGTTTGGCTTCTTTCAGAGCATCCGCACCCGCCGGTGGTAGGTCTTCGGAGAGTTGATCATGTTGTAAATAAGCTAAGTATCTGGATGAAGGTTACCTGCCACTGGGGTTATGGGTCCTATGATAGCGGGTCCTGTTCGAGAGGAATACCGGTCCTATATAAGCATCTTAGAAGACTGCCTGCGATGGTGGCTATGAGCCATGTCGTAGCGGGACCTGCTAAAGAAAGATATCGATCTGTCTTAAGATAAGTAGCTTGATTCAGATCATATAAACGTTTTGCTTTCCTCATAGCGTCACACGCGCTGATGATATGTATTCAGAGAGTTGATCATTATTTTAGGAGTTGAGTATTATGATGGACTACCTGCCATCGCTCGGGCTTATGGTTCGTATGGTAGCGGGACACGGTCAGAGGACATAGATGGTGATTCTAAGATAAGTAGATATAAATCAAAAGACGCGCGAAGCAGCGGACGATCGCAAAGTCATCACCCCATCGCTGCTCTGGATGTCGACGACCCAGCCCGGACGTGAGCATAAAGAGGCAAATGGCTGCGATGAGAGCGAGGATCTCGCAGCCGGCGCAATTCCAACGGTTTTTTATGAAGATGTTGGTGTCGGAATTTGGGTCATATATGCATTGTAGATATATGGGCATGTTTGCATATATGAAGAGTTTACTATCTGAGTATCGAGTTGAATTGCTTGGGTCGTAGGTCATCAGGCTATGCAGTGTAGCGCGCGAGACACATGCCACATGCCATGCTGCTCACCAGATTGTGTTCTGACCGCACTATCAGTCCCCGTCCCAGGTGCTTCTTGTGCGATTTGCACGGATCGTATTAATTATGGCATCGAATTTGTCGGCCATTGATTCTTCCGTTTGATGAGCTGGTCCGGTTTATCTGCTATAGTATGAGCGAATTCGAATGTCTATAGCCTTGACGTTGTTGGCCATTGTCTCTTTCTTTCGACCGGCTGGTCAGGCTTGTCAGTTATAGTCTGAGCCAGTTTGAATGTCTATGGCTTCGATCTTGTCAGCCATTAAACATCTCGTTCGACAGACTGGCCCAATTCAGCTTCCAGAGTATGAGCGATCTTGGATACTCATATGATTCCAAGGACTGTCAATCTTGACTGCTTCGTTTTGTTCATTGTATTGCGTATCCCCACGTCCCCCTTCCCGTCGGGATGTACGAGGACCGTCTGGTCTATGGTTTCGAATCTCTTAGCTGACAGTTCTTTTCTCAGCCGGCTGACCATGCTCATATTTCATATTTTAAGCGATTCTGAATACTCATCTAGTATCAGAAACCGCCTGGACCGGCCAGATCTGTGTCACCATACCCGTTGTGTACTTCCACAAGGCATTCAAGATTATTGACTGAGCTTGGGTGTCTGTCGATGTGCCTTATGCTCCGTGTACATGAACACCGGAGTCATGGTTCCAGCATCTATAACCCTCGCAACCTTGACACGCGCAATGTCAGCTGTGCGCTTGTAATTATCTTGCGCAGTCGCGTCTAGATAAATGCTTTTCACTCCCAACCGCAATTTGTCCCACGCCGATTCGCACCCCACGGAAGTAACGTGGGCTCGGCGGTCTCTTTCCGCCCTGGGTAGATCGGTATTATAGGTTGGAATCATTGAATTTGGGCTTGCACTGTGGTTTGATCCTGATAGGTGCCTATCGTGGGCCTCTATAGACTCGCCGTCAGTTCAACAGACCCATGAAACTTCAAGAGGAAGACTCTACTTATCACAGCTCTTAGACCAGAGAAAGGTGAACTCTCGGGGGTATTAAGACACCGAACCCCAAATAAGCCACGCTTTTTCTTGAAGAGCGGTTTCTCTGCCGCCATCTAGACAAGATAGATATGAGCAGCCCGCATCTGCCGAAGCTTTGAAGAGTGATACCATAAGGCCACCTCTGGAGCCCATCTACAAGCACACCACCCTCGAGGGCTATCCAGTCGTCAGCCCCTGAGATAGAGTAACTGGCACCGACGCCAGTCGATATGGAAGACCGGTGATGTATCAAGTGCCAGAAACAAATGTAGAACACCAAATGGTGTTATTCGGCGATGTATATGCTCAGGACCCAATGCCCAAGCCAACAGTTTTGCCAAATTAGAATCCTTTTCTGTGGCACTTGTGTTGGATGTGTCGTCGATCTTTTGATCATAGTTGAGAATACTATTATCGATCAAAGAAAGACCGTTCTATCTTGATAGTACCCTCATTATAAAGACCAATAAGTCTTTATAATTTCTTTCGAGCGATGTCATTTTCAAGGGTCCATTCAGGACTGAAGGCCAAAGCATGGCGTTAGCTCTTCATATCAGAAGAACTCTGCGAATCCATACCGCTTCACAGCCGTCACGGCGACCGATAGTCTGTTGACACAGGATCGAACCCTCCGCATCAAGCACACATTTGATTTTGAAAGCTTTCTGCTGCTCCTATTCCTCGGGCTCAAAGTTCTTGAATGCATTCCTCAAACAGCACATACACCAGGGCCACTTTGGCAAGACATCAATGCTTGCTCTTAAAGTCGAACTTTTCCTGAACGTACCCATAGAAGCACTTATTCTAGCCCACATACGACTTTCGATCAAAGCCCTGTGACATCAAGCTCAGATGAGAGGCAAAGTGCTATACTTCCCAATGGAGTCGCAACGAGAGCCCCAAGCCAGATTCTAGCTTTTGCCACATCAATGTGACGCATTCAGCTCAATATTCCTGTTGAAAAAGAATGAATAACACAATCCGCCTTTCCTCTTATCGGTGAGCTTCCTATGCACCTCAGTTGACCATTGTAGTCATGCGAGGCACTAACAGGAACCTATGAAAATGACCCTTTACTTAGTCAATCTTCTCTATTTTGAGCCGACATCCAGCTCTTGTCCCAGCGGTGCAAACGTCAACATATACTTGCGCACTGGCCTTGACTGAATGGGCCCTGGCTCTCCGATGCTCTGGCCTTGGTATTATTGGTATCTTTGTTTGAGTTTCACCAATGCGTGCTTGGCATGTCGAGCCATGGCGACCGGCGCCATCCACCACGCCATCTGCAACGCCAGTGACTCGAGTGTCTGTTTGCAGTTGGTATCTTGAGATCATATAGCGATCATCCTATATGCATTCTTCTTCTTCTTTGAGGTGTCTGTTCATCAGAAGTGCTGCTAGTCAGACACCTGGTTCTTCATGAATGGTTTGATCTTGATGGATGTCTCTCTAGCATACTTTAGTCAAGTACTTGCTGAGGATGATAGAGAAAACACCCTACTATGGCTAGAACGCGTCGATCGACCATTCTATATTGGAGGTGATATTGTAAAGAAGATATGATGGCCATGGGTATGAATGCCAAGGATGATAGATAGAAGTTGGAACTATGACTAGTTTGATTTAGGTGTTCCTCATATATTGGAGGAGATATTAGAGAAGATGATCAGAGAAGAAGAAGGAAGGAAGGAAGATCGAGAGCTGAGGAGACCTCTTTTATATTAGCCCTGCTCGGTGAAGAGCTGTGAGGCATGAATTAGTATATTCACGAGTCAGACTTTCATCGGCGTAGCAACTACATTTACTATTGCCTGCATTGAAAGCAGTTAGTTAATGCAAGGGCTTGCGAATTTGCGATATTACCTTTCCTCGGTGTCTATTTTTTAGTTTATCACGTGCCCAGGAGGTTGTTTGGAGTGAATAGCTTGGTATAAGTTTATACCGTGTTGCTAACGGCAATTGCTCTATTATCACGTTTTGATAATGTGTGAGCGAGCTATTCGGGTAGTGGGATATCAGCGTGGCAGTCAGGCACGGCGTGTATTCCTTGCAGTGAGGGCATTCACAATGGAACCAATCAGTAAATTAAAGAACTTCGTAGATTCATCTCTTCATTCCACGTATAATTAATGACAAATGTCCAGTGTATACATATGACAAAGGCATAGACTTGGAATTGGGTCTCCTATACAGGCTGGTCGTTCGAAATAGTTAGCAACTCTTGCCTGTTTGTCTCCGCAGACGTGGAACCTTCACTCCGATGATGAACATCCCCATCCGCTTGCTGGTTGTTCTGCCTATCCCTGAATTGTTCCCATAATTTGGAAAACAGCGATTTCATAACACTTTTCAGGCGCTCTGAGGCACTTTCTTCATGATGATCGATCTTGCGAATCCATAGTCTATCCAAGGCATTCCGCAGGACCCATTCGTCGTTTGTCAATTTGACCCACCCCTTGTTTTTACTGAACGCTTTCGAGATGATGAATATAAGAAAGAGGACCATATGCTATTGGTACAGAGTTAGAATGGGTAGAAGTGCTCAGTTGTTGCATTGGCTTACCGGCCCGTACGCCATGGCAACTTCGGTGACAGTTGCGGTTTCACTCCACCATGTCGCGCTGGAAAATGCGAATATGGTGATACACCCAATCAGTCCGATCCAGGCCTGAAGTGGTTGTAGAATACGCAGACTGCCTTTAGCAATATACTTTTCATCTAGTCGGATGTATTCAGGACGGTTGTGGTACCGAAGTCGAGGTTCGCATTTCTTCAACCTGCGCTAGCAATGAGTATCTCTTCACTATTGTATGTTGAGCAGACACACGAACCAGTAATAGTATCGAATAAATGCGAGACAGATAGCTGCCCATACGATCATTATAGCGGTGCTGGAGGAGATGGATATAACTTGGACCACCTGTCTGTATTAGCAGATACACAGAGCAAATATATGACACCCACACACTTGCTGTACTGCAGAGCTATCTACGAGCTGTAGGAATGGGACCCAGCAGAATGCTAGAAGTGAGACCAGCAAGGATACAACCGGAACTTTGGTGCCCTCGCTTAGAATCGCTAGCTTCTTCTTGACCCAGAGTTCTTTTGTCGAAGATCTGGGAAAGTGCTTCGCCATACCCCATAAGGTTCGGGAAGCAACGTACAGTGAAGTGTTGGCTGCAGAAAAGACACTGAAGAGCAAACAGCCGTTGAGGAATCCAGCCATTGACCGGTTATTGGTGTTCAGCGCGGCTATGACGATCATGCTACTTGACGAACCAGGGTTAGAAGTAGCTGATAATGTGCTATTTGAAACTCCATCATGGAGTTTTGGTAAAGCGGAATCATCCCACTTCACGTTGATGACCTCTCCTAACGTGCACATGATGTATACGACTACCGCTACATACGCAGTCCAGCGAGCCGGCCAGCGAAGGGCATGGCCGTCTCGAGCTTCAAATGCAGTCATGGCGTATACTTCTATGCCCTGGAAAGCGTATGCGGTGAGTGGGATAGCATAGCTGGTACCACCTTAGCATTCCAGATGAATAGGCAAGGGGGAGGCGAGCTGACCACTGGGCTTGTCCATTACTGCTAAAACCTTGTCCATGTTCAAAGCTAGGAGAAGAAACTACAACAAGTGAGCATTTACTGGAGCCTCAATGATGGCAATGAGATTAGAATCGTGCCATCTGGGATTGTCACTCACCATCGTCCGCGATTGTATATATATAAATTGAAATTGCCACAATCATCACCAGCTTTAGGAAACCACCAATCGTTTCCACAACACCGTACCACTGTGATCCTATCAGCTGTGTATCCATCGCTTCGAGGACACAACTCACAAAAACTCCGGTCATGTTGAGAAGGAATAAGATGACTGGAACCATAACGTAGCAGATAAGAACTCTCCACGCCGTTGCCAGGCCCCAGTACTCTAGGAGAGTCGCAGCCATAGAGGTTTGACTGGCAAACGTTGCTGCGTATGCATACCTATTTCCCCGTTAGCTGCAAATGGTGCTTGGTGCTAGATCAAAGATTATTACCAATAAGCCAGTCCGATAACCCAGCCAAAGTCCTCGTCGACGAATGTGCGAACATATTCAACGATCGAATTGTAAACCGGGAATTGCTGAGCCAACTCGGCAATACACTCATTGACTGCTAGAACTACTATGCTGATGATGAGGACCGCAAGAATCAAGCCCATTGGTCCCGCAATGGCGAGGGCCATTCCATTGTTGGTGAATATGCCACTTCCGATGACAACACTGAGCGTGATGAACTGAGCCCTATTAGCAACGACCAAGTCAACGGAAGCATCATGCATACAAAGATCTGAAACCCAAAAAGCTCCTGCCTAGACCCCGTCAGCATATCGTCAAAGTTTCCGAAATATTTGCATACTTAAGCTTTTCTGAAGTGTCCACCTGGTTCGTCATTGTGCTCGGCTATGGCATCGCCCACTCAAAGTTGTACACTCTGTGCGATGAAATCGGACATGTAGAATGGAAGATTCCAACAAAGAAATAAGCAGAGCATCTAAATAAACTTGGTAAAGATAGACTTGCATAATGGGTAAATACGCTAGGCCGGGGCATCTCTGGGATGGGGAAAATCACGAGGCAACCGAGAAGGGGGGATCTCACACGAATCGGGGACATGACCAGATCAGGCTAATCCTGACTCGGAAGGACTACTAGTAATTTGGAAGACTTGCATGGTGTATCTCAACAAATGATTGGCTGGTGATAAGAAAACATCCGCAGCCTCGTCGGACGCGACAGCACCGGGCGGGCAGAGAAGGCTGCCCTTGATTGCTTTCCTCCCTCGTCCAGTGTTATTGTGGCACGCAGATAAACCTCGAGAGCCTCATCTGGTGGGCATGGCGCTCTGTAGTGGTAACAGATTATTTGAATGCTAGCAGTCGTACACGAGGATTCAGCTCATTGTATATAACTAGCGCTCGGAACTGGCATTGGAAACTCTGGGGAACAGCGGAAAGAACCTTGCGACCACGGCCATTCAGGGTTCCCTCATCCGAGTCTCTATGGCTTCTTCCAACCTTCCATATCGGCACGAACTTACCTCAGCCGCATCATCGTACATCGAAATGGACGAGGAAATAACAAGCTATGTGAGGGAGCGATATGACAACCAGGTCCAGACGAAGGTGGAAGTAGGTTTTCTGCCGACCATCAAGCCTGACATACAACGCGATGGAACCAGCTGACGCTAATGACCATTATCGAACCCACAGTTTCGCAATGACCGATGGTGTGTTTGGGCTAGCATAAGATTTACTAAGGTACGTCATGGCTGTGCGTCTTCTGATTGCAAAAGGAGAAGTTAGAGGCTAACCTACTGACCAACAGGAAGAACTGGAGTATGTGTCTTAACATCAATCCACTGACGCCCGGCTGACCTGAGCCACCTCCCACTATAGTGAAATGGTATTGGAACTAAGAAGCCGCACCACAGCGTACTTGGCCGCGTGATTATGAAGCAGGGCGTCTGTATGGATAGGAACATCTTGATGGCTGGCCCCAATGCATTAGCTCGGGCGGCTGTACCAGTGTGGCAAGCTTCGGAAGACGCGATGAGGAGGGCGAGGAAATGTTTCAATGGACGGTGGGCGTGGCGCAGACAGGCTATGCTGTTGTTTGTTAGAGGACTAGTCCTAGATAGTCAGCCTTGACCGTAGGTGACCGCCAATCAATCTGGCTGAGGCGCTGTGCATACATATCCGTATGATTTAGTCTCATCCCTCAGCCTTGCTGAACGCTGGTCGGCAAGGCTTACCCGAAAATTCAGAAGGCATCGTGGCCCCGAAGACCGAAAGACTCGCAAAAAGAAAATTTTCTGGTTTCCATGTAGCTTTCAATATAAAGACAAGTTTGACTGTTATCTCAAGCTAGGCGAAAGTGGGAACGAAGTTGTGCGAAGAAGGGAAAGAAAAAAAAAAAGCCAATACAATGACGGTGGACGATGACCCGGTCCAGATATGGCGCCCTTACCTGCAGCAACTGCCCTCTCACCACGACCTTTCCTCGGTCAACCTCGCCAACCTTGAGGACCATTTTCTAAACGGAGTCCCACGGGCATTGACACGCAAAAACGAGACGCAGGTCCGAGTAACGGATGTCTACGATGGTGGGTAACGTTAAGGCCCTTCTGTGGCAGCATACAAACTAACGCCCATGTCTCGCAAGATCATCGTGCAACAAAACTCCATACGAACTCGAAATCGCTTCAAGACTTTCTCACAAATGATTCCGCTATACCAAATGGATTGAATATCAGGATTGTGTATGTGTGCATTGTCATTGGCCAATTTGCACGGATATAATACGGTGCTAATCAACATTGGGATCAAATAGGTCCATCTACTCCTCAGCCACCATTGCCCCGCTCGAGGTTACTCCGCTGTCTATGGCACTTCTGCTAGAGCGATATGCCGTGCATCCATCATTCATTCAAGTGCTGCTTTCTTTCGGGAGAAATGTTCATATTTCAGAAGCAGGGAATAGCCTTTTGTGTGTGAACGAGCGAGACAACGACACCTGTGAGTCCTAATATTTTCTCACGTCTACAACATCAAGATAGCAACGGTAACACGAGACGAGCAGATGTGTCATACCAGCTCAACTATGTTGAGAAAACTGGACGCAGGCTGATACCGTGGTCATGGCGCCACACTGGGGTGTACCACCACCGTCGCCAACCAAGTCAGAATGAAAAAGGATACGACTTTCTCATTCTCCTTCATCCAAATGCGGATAGTATCTCAGACAAAAGAATCCTGAACGGGCTTGGGATCTTTGAAGACTCGAGATTGCAGCCAGGCCTAAGCCGAAACGAAGCCAGGGACCAATCAATTCTGGTTCATTCGCTAGTTCTCTCCTCCTTCATTTACAACTGGAGATGGTATCTTCGTTATCTCGGAGACCGATTCGAAGAATATGTAGGGTTCACAATTTCCCAGCGAGGTTCTGACCGTCTTACTTCCCTTGGTCGGGCCTTTCATAATAGCACAATGACGGTTGGGCTAACAGGTTTCACTAAATCAGAATGACAGAGCTCTGGTGGACTTACCTGATGAATCCACTCCGAGAGAGAGCTATAAAACGGTTTCAGAGCTTCGCAATTTGAATGACTTTGCCCTGCGCGCACATATATGCTGTCGTGGCAACCTGGACTTAGTTAGCGCCCTTAAGCCCGTCATTGCCTCTTCGTTGCGTAGGAGGACATTGGACGCCGCGGGACAAGCTCTACCGGGGTGCGAAGCACTATTATTAGCGCTCCAGGGCTACATAAAGAGCTGTGAAGAGCTGATTCCAAGAATGAGAAACGCGATTGATCTGGTTGGCTTCCAAATCCTCTGTGTTGTCAATCGAAGGGCATTATGCTAACGCAACCCAGGCCGGCTATACACTTTCGCTGCACAATCAACTTGAAACAGCAAGAGTCGACCGTGAACTGCGCGATCTGACCAGTAGCTTAAAACGGTTGCAGGAGGACAACATGAATGACAGCGCCGCAGTCAAAGTAATCACATTCGTTTCGGCAATCTACTTACCCGGCTCTTTCATCGTCAGCTTATATGGAATGAATTTCTTCGTCTTCGATGAGGACTTACGCCAAATTGTTATTGCCAAGGACTTTTGGGTATTTCTCGCCACCTGGTTACCGCTGACCATGATCACAGGGTTGATATATGTTTTAATTGTATGGTTCGATGCCTGGTGGAAAAGGAAGCCGTTCCGCTTTTTCCAGCGTCCGGGGAAGGAAGACATGAGTGAGCCAGAGATGCAGGCTGGGAAGGAGTTTGCAAGTGGATGAGGTGTACTATAAATCCAGTAGTCGTTGTTTCTTTTTCTTTTTCTTTTTCTCTTCTTTTTGCAGTCTAGGCTAAATATCATGCGTCAATGATGCCCATTACTGGGAGGTAGGTCAGATATGAAGAAGCTGGTCTCGTTCCATAATACCACTGTTGCTACCCCCAGCTGCTCATAGGCCCGTACTTTGGTGGCCTGCTTGAAGCCCTTTGGAACTTCCAGGACTTCACGGCCCCGGGTAATTGAGGCATGCGTTTGGTTTTCTCGGCGGGTGATTTCAAATCGGTGTAGATATAATCGTGCCGTAATTAGATGACCGCTTTTGACTAGCCCGAGCAGATACTCATCACCAATCATGCAGCTGACTATCACATTCAAAGTATCAAATGGGCGCTCAATGCGCGCTGGTTCAACGCCATGTGATCCACTGCGCTGCTGATTCAGAGTAACAGCTGTGTACCTGTTTTGGTCATCTGCAAGGACGCACCCTTTACCAGAACTATAAGGAATAATTGAAGTATTCCAATGAAACCGATGCTGCTTCATGTTTGTTTAGTATCACATCATATAATACAGGCGGCTGTTATGGCCTACCAGAGAATAGTGAACAGCGAAGTCTGGTTCACCTGCCATCGCTTCGACTTTCCAGACGTACAGAGACTCTTGCTTTGAGCTCCTTGCCCACACAAACAAGAAGTCGCCGCTGGCGTTGAATATGGCCTGCGCAAATGATTGATCCGAGACGGGCAAGGCCAGGGTGCGCCGCACATCTGATGACGATTGGGACGACCGAGAGAGGAGTATTATGTCCTTGTCCTGGACTAAAGCGAACAGACCACGCGGAGATACGGCGACCGATACAATTAACTCGGGGACTATGGGTAGGCTTGTCTCGAAACCTGAATTAACCTTCCCAATATGAAGCTTAGTTTCATTAGTACAACCCCGTAAGTTGCACAAAGAAACTTACCATTCTTCCCCCTTCTCCCTTACGGGAACCTTTACAGAAACCCCAAACTGCGAGGTACTGGCCTTCGATGACAACCTCGGCATTACCTAATTTCCCAAACAGTGATAAGGATCCAACCTCTTCGAGTTCTTTTTGCGTAAGGTCCAAGTTCAGTATTTCAACTTTGTCATTGGATACTACTGCAATTGGGACCTTGCCTTGGCAACTTGTCCGCGACATATAAGTATCAATGACATGTTTTTTGCCATGTGGTAGTAGCTTGCTCGGTCCCTGCAGGACTGACTCACTGCGTAGCTCACTGGATCGACTATTTGATCGATTGTGAGACTGACTAGCTGATGAACTTCTTGACTGCCTACACGAAGGCTCGGCTGGGGACTTGAGTGGCTGCGAATCGCGGATTTGAGGCAGGTCGCATGATTTATACACACCTCTAACGTATTCCTCAACCTTTTGCGCTTTGGGCCTGTGCTCCTTGTCTATGATAAGGATGTCTTTGATTGTCTTCACCCATTCGCCTACTACCCTCTCAGTGGAATTTTGATGGTGCTCAAGCCATCGGACAACCGAATCTCGTACTTTAAAGCCTGTCGCTTGAGGCGACAAGCTCTGAACAAACCGTTCATCCCAGTAATAGTCATTCGTTGCTTCAATTTGCCTTGTCTCGGCTAAATGCCGAACACCTTCGCGTCGCCCGATTGCCCAGGCGAGTACCTCAGTGAAAATGCATCCGTAAGCCCAAATATCACTTCGACGACCTATCTTGTTAGCCATGACCGTTGATCCTGTTCGGATAATAGCTTCCGGTGGTCGATAGGTCCCTCTTCCCCGGTGAGGGTTCACTTCAATGGTCGGTTCCCGGTAACAGCCTCTGACACTCAGTGGACGGCTTGAACCAAGCTTCTGGGGTTCAAGCACGGAAATGCCAAAGTCAGATATCATCCACTTCCCTACAACAGAGCTTGCATCATTCATGATTAAGATGTTGTCCGGCTTGAGGTCTAAATGAGCACACATGATGTGCTCGCCATCAACCTGAATATAGTCGTGCAACCACAGAATAGCGCATGCCAGAGCCCAGCATTGATACAACAATGGCTTCAATATAGCTGTATCACTTTCCTCCGGTATGCCAGGAAATTGATTGTGAAGTTCATAGCTCCCAGCACCACCATATAGAAAGTGGTACAGATCCCCATGTTCGGCATACGGGAAGAAAATATAGTAGTTGTGTGGACCATGGTCCACAGCCGTGTAATGCTGCAGAATGTGATGCTGTGTTGTCAAACTCTCCTTCAAAATTTTGAGATTCTTGTGTTCTCTGAGAAAAGCTTCCTTACGGTCGAATTTCTTGCAGGCAACTTGATAGGCGAAGTTGTTGTAACTTTTACTATCCGTTTCCCAGTACCGTGGCGTTATAGTCACCAATTTCACTTCGCCAAAGCCCCCGATGCCCAGCTTTTCAGGCGTAATCTCGAACGGTAGTCGACGCTTGGAAGAAACGCAATGTAGAGGCGTTGTACAAGAGATCACTGTTGGGCAAAAGTCGCATTGAATTTGATCGAATCGGCCTACTTGCTGTGGTTGATCAGGAAGGAAAGTTTCGATTTGCTCTCGCTCTAGCGGAAGATCCTTATCGGTTATATTCCCAGCAAGAAATAAACTCCGAAAGTTTGCTAGGCAATGTGTGGCCTCGATTGATACGAGAGTGGAAAGGATGGCAATGAAGTTGTCTTGGATGTTCTGCAGATCGTCATCGATGCGGCGATCGGTATAGAGCACTTTGTGGATGCGATCTTCCGTCTGCCAGATTTGCAACAGATCTTGATGCGAAATGAAGCGGCTGGCAGGCTCGCATCGTCGCTTAGTATGATTCTCCAGGTCAGTCTTAATATTCTCGCAGGCCGTGAAGAATTCGGAGCCCGGCTGAGGAGCACTCATTTGGTCGAAAGCAGGAGTCGGACGACATGGAAATGGCACAGCCCAGTGAGAGTGAGGAGAGTAGAGCAGGTACTAAGAAGGGTGGTGGTGAGCCGGACAGGAAACGCACCTGCCTCACTGAACACACGGTCATGTGCAGGAGGCACTGACTGATGACGATGATAAGCAGCCTCCTCTTGCCGAAGATGCGATTGCTAAACCGAGGTTAACCGAAGCAGACTACTTACTAAGTAAACTTTCAACAATAACAACCACCACCACCACCACCACCACCACCACCACTACTAGTGTTTACTACTAATAACCAGCCAATGTTAAAAGGTTGGGTGACAGATACTGGACTACGATTTAGTATTAGTTGACACACAAAAGAGATTAGTGATTCTTCCATTGGTGTAGCAAGTATAGATACACCTTCTCTCCATCTAAATTGATTTCCTTGGTGGGCATCACTTGTATCCTTTCGTTCAGAAGACGCGACTCGTGCTTATCCAGGTGCAGCCCATTGACGTATGTGATACAAAAGCGTAGGTAGCACAATGAGTAAGCGAACCCTGATTTTCCAATCATTCAGGACCGGCTTCAGCTCCCTTCAGCAGCTGTAGCCTGACAAGATAGAGGCCGCTGCCCGACAAAAGAGCCTCGTTGCCCAAAGACCGTAAGCGAGTCAGCCACTCTGGTTGGCGGTGCAGCTTGTGGCTTATGCACAGCCTTGAAACACTACTTTCATGATTTACATCTCATGGTATTACATGATTGTATGAAAATAGATCCTTGCTCATCACTGCATAACTTGGTGACCATTGATTTCCAACTACTCCATACAGGACACCTGACTTCATCAGCCTTTGAGACGATCTTCAAGCGGCTGAATGATGCCAAGAAAATGGCAGGGCAACATTTGACAAGAGTCGCTTTATCTCCGGGCAAGCCAGGAACCTCCGTCGGACAACACAGTCGAGGGGCTGATCGGAATGGCGTTCTGACAGCGCAAATAGCGCATGCTTAGCGAAGTGATGGACCAACAAGTCACAGCTGAGTCGCGATCCCACCGAATCGGGTCACAAAAGCCGCTGGTATGGAGTACTCCGTACTACTCCCTAGAAAGCAAGACGCTGAGCTGATCGGGGAGGGATGGGATGGATCAGCGATGGCCGGTGTCAAGACTTGACCAGGATTAGGCCTTAGCTTCGTTTAGGTTCACCACTCGTTTCGCACAAACCCCCGGCTTCGGGGCCGCAGTGGGGAAAGGTCTAGCAAGGGTGGGAAATTACCACTCTTGTTAAGTCACTTTGCTAGTAGACTAGCCCCGTGGGGGCAGCGGATAGTTCCTTATTCCCTCTCTCTCCTTCCACTTCAGCTCAATGGAATGTCTACTCCATTCACTAATATCATGGGGTTTGACGAACATTTCAGTTATTGATTAATCATTCTAACAGATTTATAATGATGCTGTAGTCTTCGCAGTGGCAATTGACTTAACGATTTCTCTGTCGTTGGTCGATCTTGGTCTGCTCGCACATCGCCGACTCCGTACTAACGAGTTAGTATGAGCCGATTCTTTGTCCACGATCCCTGTCCGATCCCCATCGGGCTAAGTTAATCACCGGGGTCTTTCCGGCCAACAGACGGGGTCAGCCATACACAAGCCGTTGAAGCCGAGCCTAATGAATGAGCAGTTCCAAAAACATTGAGGGTCTTGGAGTCACAGAAAACGCTTTAGTGGACCGGCTAAATATCTTCGCATGCGGTGGTGTCTCGTTACTGCGCCCGAGTTGCTTTAGCACGTCCCGCCAATCGAAGCTGTTTTCTCTTAAACTGTCCAGGGCAGACATCGCTAGTTCAAAATCTACTCCTCTAGAGGCATAAATGCTCGGACTTCGCTCCTAGTCCTGGTGTCGTCACCTCCTCTTTCCGTGTTAATTCATCCTGCTGTGCATTGTCACCTTTGGGAGTGATGTTACGCCAAATGTGGTATGAGGCTGGGACATGTCTGCTTTTTGGGCTTTCCGTTACGGTGTCAGCACTGGATCTGGACATCAACAGTACACGTAAGGTTCCTTTTGGGTACTATCTTGAATGGCGCTGACCTAACCAACCCTCTTCTGTACGGTATTCAGAATCAATCAAAGATGCGGCAACAGTAACAGTTCAAAACACGCTTACCAACTCATCCCTCAGTGGAAATGTCAATCCGGTGTACGGCGATTCCAACGAGTGGATATTTAACTCATCTACCGTGGAGGCGTGGCTCTACTCGACTCTGATTCCGTATTGGAATCTCACTGGAAACGATACCTACAATGAGCTTATCAGTAAGCGTATGTATAGCATGGCGGGACTGGAGCTCGGAGACTCGTGGTCGGAGTCAGATAACGATACCAATATGAACCATGCGGCCTGGGCTCTGGCCGCTGTAACGGCAGCTGAGATGGACTTCCCGGCCGACTCCTCTAAGAAGTCTTGGTTGACTTATGCGGGCCAGGCTCAGGGGACCTTGAGAAGTACCTTCAAATTTCAAGATATCTGCGGCGGTGGCCTTGAAATTGCCAATGATGCTGTACAAGAGACGAACGGCTCTATGAAAGACGCCCTAAGCAATGGAGAGTTCCTGCAGTTGTCTTCGCGGCTGGCGTATATCACCACAGGCGACAATCAATCGTCTTATGCAGATGATGCAATCATGATCTGGGACTGGTGCGTGAAAAACGATATGCTGGTGGAGTCAAATTGGACCATCAATTACCTGGTGACAAATACGACAGCCACTGGAAATTGCACGGCGATGGCGACGACTAACGCGGAATATACCTACTTCTACGGCTTGTACATGAGCTCTGCGGCATACATGTATTCTGTGGTATGCTTGGAACAATTTACATTAATGCTTATGAAACTATGGCTAATCAAATGTTCTCAACAGACAGGCTCAGCCGTTTGGAAGACAAGGGCAGAAGGGCTGCTAGATAGCATCATGGGCATGTTTGTTAACGACGGTGTAATCCGGGACCTTGGGATGTTACTTGAACCCGACGAAGGAGTAATGAGTACATCTTGGGATGATGATAGTGCGGACGCCTTAAAGGGCCTCCTAGCATCATGCCTTGCGGTAGTGACGCACCTCTTACCAGACACAGTGAACACGATTGAGCCCCTCCTCCGAAGCAACGCAGAAGCTGTCGCAAATCAATGCAGCGGGATGAGCAACGGCACTGTCTGTGGTTCCGAATGGACTGATTCGACGTATGATAAGGAGCCTAACTTCTTCAGTTCTATGAGCGCCGTGAACGCGTTTACTGCGAATTTGTTGATGGCAAAGAGCTCCTATAGTCCAAGTACCACGGGAACAAGCACCAACGGAACCAGCACCAACGGAACCAGCACGGACACAAAAAGTGGTGGAAGCTCAGGTGGGCTCTCTGGCGGAGACATTGCTGGTATCGTAGTCGGCTCCGTTGCTGGCGCTGGCTTAATCGCTGCTGTCGCCTTTTTCCTCCTCCGCAAGAAGAAGAAACAGGCTGCAAGTGGAGCAGAAGTAGCATCGGAGAAGAACACGACCACTGACTACCAAGGCGGTTATCAAGCCGCGGAGCTCGAGCCACGAGAGGTTGCGGAGCTTCCGCAGGGCGCTACCTCCTACAATTTCCCGGAGATGGACACCGACACTGCGATGGAGCAACCGCCCCAGGAACTGCCGCCACAGGAGCTGAAAACGACGAAGACGATCCGTTATGAATTGGCCTAGCTGTGATGTAAAATAACACCGACTAATGTACATAGAAGGGAGTACCCGGGGATTCGGTCTGGCATAATACACGACCTAGCAAATGATTCATATTTCAATTGAGGAACAGTGTTATCTGAATCATACTGGCAGGTATATCTACTGCTGTTTCATTTTACTTTACAAGTGATCTGCATGCTACGCGCTCAGGTGTTGATCCTGTTATCGCTTCATAACAGTAGCCTCCATAGCAGGTCCGGTAGAAGATCTGATAGTAGTAGCCCAGGTAATGGCCCCGAGAGCCCCGAGAGCCGCGAGACAACCTACACCTGTATCCGAAGAAGAGACATTCAGGAGGATGTTCGCCTTTCCCGATATTCCCTGATTATAAACAACCTTAGGAAATCCGGAATTCGAACGGCTCTTCGCACTAATGCACAGTAGGCAAGGCTTGTCGTCTACACAGGGAAGTGCAGCCGGCAAATTATTTCTATCACATGATTCATACCAGCAGTTATATTTGACTGAAAGCTGCCGCTGTTGCTTTCTTGCATTCAAAAGGGGACCCGCAATTGATGTCTATTCGTCTGGCCGGATGTATGACCTACAGAGTGATTGCCGAAAATATCTTACGTGAGATCTCTGCCTGAGATTCCCTTGATCATGTTTTATAGACAGAATTGACACTAACCTTCGTAGGTAAGGTGTGTAGCAATGCTGGAGCGGATTCTCTCCGACCGATACCAACCCTCCCCATACACCATCAACTGCACTCCAATCCTTCCCTCCTGAAGGATTATGGGATACAGTCATATTACAGTCTCTATTGCGCAATGCGTGAAGCATCATCAACAACAACAACATGTTTTTCCTTAATACAACAGCATATGATGACTGTTGAATAGTTTCCAGGATACCCCTCACTTTTCCCCCGTCCACCTGAGCCTCCCCGACCGGGGAAACACTATCTACCCCACAAACCAGTCGAGCAAAATGTGGAGAGCGATTGCAGAAGTCTGCAAACACTGCCTTTGCATGTGCACGAACCACGCTAATCAATGCCGAAATCTTCATCCGGCTTCATAACGTTTGGACTCTGACCAATCTTCTCTCCCGCATTTTGCTTGGGGACTGAACTACTCCCCTTTTAGAGTGATTACAGCAAGACGCTTGTTTGAGGGAATATTGGACTGGAAAGAAGGATAAAAATTGCGGGTCTCTGTATGGTCATTCCGGTCCACCTTCGACGGGCTTTTTGGTTTCGCGTCATCTGGACTTTTCTCCGGAGCTTGTGAAGCTGCGGAGGAGGATTATGATTGCCGTTGTTCTTTCCCGAGCGAAGATCTTCTTCTCAGGCATCGTTGGGATTGTTAATGAGAGCAGCTGGTGGACGCTGCCTTCATCCTATAAATCGGTCTGCAGCTGGCATCCGACATAACGGGTAACATGCGGCGACCGTTTTCGCAGATTCTGGTCTGCAGTTCTTCTATCCGTCGTCCTTCGCCATACTAACGAATTGGATCTTCGCAGATATTGCCAACGCATCGAATCGGTCAACATGATTCCCCGCTCCATGGCGTGGACCTCAATGTCGATATTATCCCTGTCTGGGGTAACGGCAGCATCAAGTTCCTGCACTAAAGAGACGTTCTCGTCTCTCGACTTAAGCAACATCAATATACTGTCGCTCAACGTCACCGCTGCACACAACTTTGCCACCAATGCTTCACTATCGAGTGGAACCACCTCAGCACCCGTAGGCCAAATGCCAGCGACGGTAGAGATCTGCATCGTGTCATTGCAGTACACACACCCTGGGCAGAACGACATTGTCAATACCTACATCGGACTGCCTCTTGATGCCAAAAGCTGGAACTCACGCTTTCTCATGGATGGGGGTGGTGGATGGGTAGCTGGAGGGCTTGATGAAATTATAGCTCCCGTCGCTGCCGGATACTCATCCGCCTCGACCGATGGGGGACACAATAGTACCGCCTCAACGGCGGACTGGGGCTTTGTGAGCGAAGGCAATACCAACTGGCCGGCGCTATGGGATTTCTCCAGTGTGGCACTAGGCGAGGCAGCTGTACTTGGGAAGCTGGCTACAGAAATCTACTTTGGTTCGCCGCCCAAGTACTCGTACTGGAATGGATGTTCCACTGGCGGTCGACAGGGACACATGATGGCCCAGAGATTCCCGACCTACTTTGATGGTATTGTGGGAGGCTCTCCGGCTATCAATTGGGATAAATTCCAACTGGCCGAGTTCTGGCCTGCTTTCCTGGCCCAACTTCTTGGTGTGTTGCTATTGCTGGGTTCATTAAAATCATGCTAATCAATCTCTCACAGATACACGGCCGCCTGCATGTGTCCTCGATACATTTACGGATGCTGCCATCGAAGCCTGTGATCTGCTGGACGGAGTGAAGGACGGAATCATTTCTCTTCCAGGTCAATGCCATTATGAAGCATCGTCGATGGTTGGTCAAACCATAAATTGCAGTGATCCGGATGGGCAGATTACATTAACGGACAAGATGGCTGAGCTAGTCCAAGGCATGTGGGATGGACCCATATCACTCGAAGATCAATTCGAGTGGTACGGACTGGGTTATGATGCCGATCTAACAGCCCTCCTTACTACGACCTGCACATCGGTTGATAACTGTACTGTGACACCTTTTAGTATCAGCGCCGACTGGGCCCGAATTTTCTTGGCCAGAAACTCGTCCTTTAGTGTCCAAGGCCTAACGCGACAAGACTTTGACGATCTCTACCGCGAATCAGTTGACCAGTATGCTTCCGTTATTGGAACGCGCAATCTTGACTTGACAGGGTTCAAGATTGCGGGAGGAAAGATGATTTCTTGGCATGGAATGCAAGACGAGTTGATTCCGACCAACGGTACAGTGGATTATTACAGCCGGGTGATGGAGTTGGATCCCAGTGTGGCAGACTACTACCGCTTTTTCCTGGCGCCTGGAGTTGCTCATTGCGAGGGGGGTAACGGATTCGATCCCAATGATTATGTGTTTGAAACGCTCAGGGCATGGGTTGAGAACTCAACAGTGCCTGACACTTTGGAAGCCACTGCTGTAGCAGTGGCTGGCTCGAACAGCAGCTCAACTCGCACGGCGTATCTTTGTCCTTATCCGAAGATCTTCACCTATGTTGGTGGAGATCCGAATGATGCATCGTCTTTTAGCTGTGCTTGATATAGAAATAGCCGAGATGGATCGATGGGGAGTTATGTCTCACACTCCACATGTTCCATAGAGTATGGAGTATCAGGGTTACCTAAGTAAGGGTCCAAACTGAAATGCATACTTAAGTACTCTGTACAGTAGATAAAAATAAAAGCCAATATTCAACCGCAATGTCTCAGTTACCCACCGAAATCATGCTATAAATAATTGGTCGAAAATCATCCGTCGTCGCGAGGAGAGAGACGATCAACCAGCAAGTCATTAATTGAGTTGCCTGCAGGGCCTTCCATAGTAACTTGGAATGAGTGGTACCTACATGGACCACAGATCCCCTTTCCCCTCATGCCATGACTGGATTCTACCATCCCTAAGCTTCTCGGCACTTTATTAGATGCGGGTGTGACCCGTGTGTGTGTCTTGGCTACCATCCATGTCCGACAGCATACCTTTCCTACAATGCTCCTACATCAAGGAGAAATAGAATCAATAACAGAATACAATTAATAAAAGAATAAGATAAAATCATACAATCACCACATTAATTTATCTCCGACCTCCCACCACCTCAACCCAATACTAAGTGAAATAAAATAACAGAAAAAGAATGATGATAATAATCGGACATCACTACCCAATCGGGCATCCCGAATCTCTTCTGCCTGAACACAACATTACAAACAAAACAAAAGCGGGGGTGTTGTTAGTTGTTTCCGACCCGCCATCCGCTCTCCCTCGCTTCCAATCATTCCCTTTCTACTGTCTAGGGTTTGCTTCATTTCTGATTTCTCCTTCGCTGGAAATTCTGGTGCCTGAATGAAATGAATGAATTAAGTTGTGATGTGATGGGTGGACTATTTTTAGATCATCGATAGATAAAAGTAAGTAGTAAGTGGTAAGTAAATCAGGGTTCAATATGACGGTTATTGATTGGATTAATATCGATCAATCAGGACGTACACTAGTTGAGAGTTCTGGTAGTCGTGTCATGATTGCGGTGTACACTTATGCAGGATGCCAATAATTTACCTGAGCTAACGGTATGATGAGTGATATGATATGAGATGAGATGATATCGTGGTGATCGGTCAGTCCACTCTATTCTGCTCTGTGCTTGTGCTTGCGCTTGATTTTTTCTTGGTGTCGTTAGTGGGTCATTACGATTAATGAATGGGGCGGTGTTGAGAGTTGGACTAGTAGTATCGGGGTTTTCTTGATTTTTTCCCTTCCTTACTTGCTTTTCTTCGGGGTTGGCTGTTATCGTAGAATTGCTTTTTATTACCTTTCCTTGATAACATGGAATAATTTCCATTGCCTTGTTGTGTAACTTATCTATCTATCCTGAGGAATAGATGCAGTAGGCACATAGTTACTCCGTACACAACAGCTGAAACAACCATCTACTTACACAGTATCTTTCTAGCTAATTAGCTAGCTAGTTAGCTAACTGATCATCTGAGCTGCTACTACTTGCATCGGAGATACCACTACCAATACATACTGAATTGGACACTCCCCTAAAGAGAATAGCCCTAGTAGTTAGATATCTATCTGCCTACACCCTCACCCGCACCCTCACCTCCAACAACCATTTATCCTAATTCTAGTCGGAGACTAAACTAATAATATCACAAACACACTATTAAGTAAGAACCAAACATCAACCCCATCCAACTAGTCAGTTAGCTACTACCCATCCCCACAGACTTATTCTACTACTAGTAGTTTTACTGTGTCTCGAATAGTGCCGACCCGTGCGCTGTGTGTGTGTGTGCCGTCCGTTCCAATCTGCATGATGGTGTCTCTGCATGCATGCTACACACTAATTAACTAACTAACTAACCACTTAACACTAATTACTACCTAGTACTGTTGTTCTGCTGTACTTATTCCGCACTTATCCCCGTCTTTTTCGGTAGGAGCCTAGTCTTACTACTTACTTACTTTCTTTTTCTTCAACACACACCCCCCACACCCATACCACTCACAACTTACACCCTCGAGTTACTGCCTACTGCCTACTTGCCTACTACTTTCTCGTGTTTATGCGTCCGGTCCTTGTCGAATGATGTATTGATACCCTACCTTATTCAACATACTACATACCCACTTTACGAGTTTATGGTTGCTAGTTAAAGTTCCGAGTTACGAGGATATACCCTGGTTTTCAATTACTTTATTTTCTCTTGACGATTTGGTGGTGCTGCGTTCCGATGATATGATACCCTTACTACACAGCCACGTCAATTCCGCCTCCCAATCACGCACACGCTACTTGCTCCTTGTTCTGGGATTACTATTGCAGGTACATGTACCGCTGGTTGCGGGGGATAATAACTCTAATTGTGAGTTGTACTGCCCTTAATTTCTTCGAGGGAAGCCCCAGGCAACTAATCAATGGGTGATGTGGCGTGATAGGCTCCTCTACTTCAACGATATCCTCTCAATCTGATGCGGACTCGCTCTCCTCGTGCGATACCCTCTCCGGTACCCTGACTATCTCCTCCTCTGCGACGGGCAGTATCTCTCTCTCCAATGTTGAGACTATCAATGGCGGCATCACCATCCAGGATGTATCCGGGTTGACGTCGTTCTCGGCGTCGGATTTACAGAAAGTGAATGGGAAGATCTATATCTCCGGGAATGACGACTTGACGAATTTGTCGTTTCCGGATTTGGAAAAAGTCCCCGGGGAGATTGATATCGAGGGGAACAAGGAGTTGAGGGACATTGTATTCCAAGATTTGAAGAACGTCGATGGAAGTTTGATTCTGGAGGGGACTTTCAACGAGTGGGTCCTCCGTTTCCTTTTCAATATGAGGGATATTCCTTTTTGACGATGGGCAGGATCAAATTCGGCGATCTCGATAAGGTCAAAGGACAAACGGTGATTCATTCCCATGGCGGGTCGTTTCGATGCTCGAGTCTCAATTCTCTTCGTGATGATGACGATGACGACGATAACAATACCCGCCGTCGCCGCGACAACAACAACAACAACAACAACAACAACAACGGCGCCTTTCAAGGATCTTACACCTGCACCGACGGTTCCAGCAGCGGACTCAGTGCGGGCGCCAAAGCCGGTATCGCCATTGCCGTGATCGTACTCGTCCTGCTCATCCTTGTTGGTTTGTGGATGATGTATCGGAAACAGCGGAAGCGGCGCAGAAGACAGAATGATGATCAGAGCCAAATGATGTATACGCCTGTCGGGGTCGGCCTTCGGGGCGGCGGTGGTAGTAGTAATCGAGACGAGGAGTCGGCAGCTGGTGATGAGAAGCCTGTTACCGGAGTCCCGAATCCCGCCGTACTCAGGCAGAATAGCGACCCTGTTATTGCGGCTAGTGCCATTCCCCGGAAACCGATATCGCCGCCACCGCCATCAAACGAGATGAACAGGGAATCTATGGTGTCCATGTCGACGTCTCCGCCCCTCCCTGCTGCGTTGGTCCCAGGAGATCGCTCGTCTGCGTCGCCGCCGAATGACGCGGATGGACGATCACTGTTCCTGCATCCGATCCCCCGGAGGCGACCGTCGGAGACGGATGTGCCGTTGCTGGATAGTGGTGACGTGCATGAGGCGCCCGGAAGTCCAGTACAACGGCCAATGTTTGAGCTAGATGCAGGGCCCGTGCGAGGAACGCATCAGCAACCTATTAACCATGAGTAGCATGCGCTGCAGTTTATGATTTGCATATCCAATGTATATACCTGAGCGGTCAATAGTCCAAAAAGATTCACGAAGATAAGAATATCTAACTGTACATTAGATCACGAATCATAACAAAGAAAACCAAACCAAATGCAACCGATATCCCCAATCATGATAGTATACATCATGCATTAACAATCATCCATTAGATTATGACTTCTTCGCTCGCACTGCCTGCAGTGTCTCACCAGACGCCAACGGTCCACACCATCCGTACGTATCGCACCGGCATTGCTCGTACCGGGGGCAACTATACCTATTAGCATTTCTCCGCAATTCTCCCACCACGTTGTAGGCCAACTTACTATATCACATCCATTCCGAAAATGATATGCCAGATCTTCTCATACACCCATCCCACGCCAAAGCTATCCGTCAGCTCCGTCTCCTCTGCCCATTTCAGCATGCGCTCGTAGTCTTCGCGTGGCCGTTCCAGGATCCGTTCTCGGCTGACGGCGAACTGTCCGCAGCACACATTTCCGATGTGTTCGGGCACCTTCTCAGCCGGTACGCCCAGGATCGTCTCATACACTTCTGGGAAAAACGCGCGGATGTCGTCCTTCTCAATATCGATTTGTGTAGGGCTCCAAGGGTGCACGCTCGTGGGACATCCCGGGTCGTGCTCGCACCGAAGGTTCACGTAACCCTGTGCGTCGACGGCCTCGAGTCGGAGGTTCTTCAGCGCGGGGCTGGTGTGGGGACCGAAGAGGTCATTGTGCCATTGGTCGAGGTTCGAGTGGATGAAGATGGTATACTTCGGGAGTTGGTGATAGAAGTCGACGACGAAGGAAAGGTAGGCGGCGGCTTCGCGGCCGCGAATAGTACGCGGAACAAGGAGGTAGGGAGCAGGGGGCTGGTCGGTCGTGTAGATGAAGGGAATTGAGCCGCTGGACAAGGTATATCAGTATATGATCGCCTGGTGGCTAGGTAGGATCGTACTGGTCTTTGCAGTAGTTGAGGAGCCAGGTGAGGTCTTCTTTCACGGTCGCAGCCAATACCAAGCCAATGTCATTTGTCGCATTGCTGTAAGTACTGGTGAGTTGGGCCAGTTGGGATGTCACGATGTCGTGGTCGTTGTTAGGAGTTTCTTGGTGGACTGGTGAGACAAGGTCGGGGTCAGCATGATGTCGGTGATGATGCACACGGACCACGTGAGCTGCAGAGAGAAAGTATAGATACCTGGTTGGGGTTCATAGGGCCGTGTACCATAGAGATACCAAGATACCATGGAGGTGACAAGGAGAGCAAGACATCCCAGGCCGGCAGTGCGGCGGGCAGGCCAGCGAAATAGCCGCCTCTTAGACATTGGGGATGGGCCTCACGGAGAGGGGGAGGCGACGGCACGGAAGAGCAATATAAACGGGCGCAGAGGGGAGAGGGAGGCGCTATTAGAAAGAAAAGGGGGAGGAATGGAACAATAAGGCAGTCACAAATCAAGACATGAGACGAAGATTAAGTCGCGTCATCAGCCATGTTGCGCGCAGCCAAACGAGAGAAGAGATGGAAGAAGTCAAAGTTGGAGTGAAGTTGAGTGAGTGAGCGAGTGAGCCTCAAGCGACGGGAAAGAAAGGGTAACTCAGGGAAAGGAAATGGATGGCCAGCCAGCCGAAAAGCCAAAAAGGGCCCTCGGGTGGATCCAGGCTGGACGCCATGGCCTCACACAATACGCAGTAAGGGGCAGCTGGCGACGCCTCTAACCTCATCCGGGCTAGTCTGGCCCTTCTCCGGCCATTTAATCGTCAGGATCTGAAGTTGAGTGTAACCCCAGTGGAGTCTTGATGTTCCTGGTGGTGGAGGTTCCCCCGCCCCCATTGGTCGCCTGCCCCCGGCCCAAGAACCGCTAGTGACGGATCCATCCTTAGTGCCATCCAGCCATGCCCCGTTCGGAGCTAGGCCACGTTACTTGCAGATACACCTGGAGTGTGAAATCTGGAGGTGGAACAACCGAGAACGGTCGTGGAGAGAGACAGGGAAAGGGTTGAGCAGTGTACAATAACTGACGGTGAGGGATGAGGTCCACAGTAACATGCTTACTTGTTATACAGCAGCCGGTTTGGTTTGGAACCAGCTGTTTTGCCTATCTCGTTGCAGGGCCAAGAAGCCACTCGTCACGGAGTACGTCACCCTATGAGGGCTACGACCAAATGATGCTTGACGGGTCATTTCCGGCGCGTCGGGCCCATCCGCACACATGCAGATGTCGGTATATCGCAGCATATGCCACGCAGCTGTCGGACGGCTCCTGGTGGATCGCATCGTTGATGACCGGCGAATATATATTTCGTGCAGCCGCCCTGAGCCACCACTGCTTATATCCTCCGGCACTATGCAGTACGCGCGTCTGTCGATGTGATGGGTGATATTACTGTGACGTAGAAGAATCAGAAGGGTACTTCAGACCTAACAGCTTTACAGTACTCAGTATAGGGGTCTTCATGCGCATGCTCTGTATGTTAGTAACGTTGATCTAATTTCTGTTCTATAGTTGAGGGCTAGCTATGTTGGCCTGTTGTAATAAGCTTCGTCCTAGTAGTAGATATCTGTTTCAATATAAACTCAACCCACATGCCCCTAAATAGAAGCAAGATTAAGCCACGTGGTGGTAGAACATGACAGGTGTGGACCATCCAGCAATGGTGTACGTATACTGACTGTTATTGCTCCCGCAAATGAAGGTGGGCCAGTACCAGCCGTGCTCGAGTGTGGACGGAATATGGAGAAATGATCTACCATACCCAGAACAGTTAGCAGTAGACTCTATGCCGTATTGATTTTCAGCACATAATGATACACCCAGTCAACGAGTTGGTGGGCGAAGAAAGCAAGTCGATGAGGCATCGCGAGCTATAAGTGCCTAACCGATGTCTTCAGCCGGTCCACCTCCTTGCAGCAATTGTAGCAAGCACAGGGAACCTGACAGCTGCAGAACCAAAGCAGTCACGTCAGGATTAGATTTCGAGCCTCAGCATTAAGCAGAGGTTAGGCCCGAATGTACAGCTCGGCCCATAGGTTGTCCCTGACGGATGTCGGACCAGCACGGAATTGGTGGTGTTATAGATAGTGTTGCGGATTAATTGGGGCACGATTGATGCGATCCAGATGTACGTGTTGCTATCGCTATACTTGGGCGTTAATTAGCATGTTTGGTAAGCTGAGCACTCAGCCCCGCTGGGAAAGCTAATATGGAGACACAACATAGTCTACCGGTCAGTCCCCGGAGATTCATATAATGGCAGTTGCAGATGGCATTGAATCTATTCAGGTGGCCGATATGCTTTATGCAGGCATGATCAACATCAGCTTGGGACAAAAACTGTGGTTAGACTTTCTCATTCAACCGAACAGGAAACTGGAAGCGCGGCACATCTCAAAAATTAGCCGGGGAGTTCGGCGAGGAAGCCGAGCGGATGATTGGACTACTGAACGAGGCAATTATCCGTGCGGGAAGCGGGTTGATGCGGATGATTTGGGGGTGATTTGGGGAAGTCTGACCCCGCAGAGTTGCAATGATGCAGAAGGAGATGTGTAAGCGAGATGTTCCAGATTTCATGGCACTTCTCAAACGAGATGTAAATCGTTGTGTCGAAATTTTAATTCTCAGATCATGTGCCTGGCAGATAATGTTAGTAATGGGGCATGAGTAAAATATAATAAGGACAGTGATTGGTGGAAAATTATTTGTAGGGGTCCCAAAGAGGAAACGTGTTTTGGCGGGGAGGAGAATTCGGAGGAATGTCTGCCGCCTGACATCATCACTGACTGTCTCTGACTTTCTCTCGACTGCCATCAACTGCTGGAGGTGTGTACTCCATCAGAGTCAAAAACACAATAGCCATTGGCAAAATACCATTGCAACCTCAATTCTCGGGAAATGAATGGCGTGTCTGACCATGGTTTCCTCTTCTCGGGGTCGGAATTAACCGACAGACCGAGAAGTATCTCAGAAGATGAATGGAATGGGAATGGGAACATCCCACGCACGCCCCACCGAGGGGTCCCAATTACTGCTGGCGGGGTAAACTTCCCCTCGAAAAGCATCATCAGCCACTCATCGTCGCGGCACCTCCTCCATCGACTTCGATGATGGACTAGAGCCATGCTATGTGACCCCCACCGGAGGACCTCGGCCGTCTGGAAGCGCTCCCTATTTCTGTCGCGTTCGCCCTCCTCTTCTTCCTTCAGTCTTTCCCTTCTTTCTTCATCTCTCCTATCTCTATTCTCCTCGTGAATCCCATTCTCTTACACAATGTCTCTTGGAAAGAAGGTTACTCTTAACTCCGGTGCTCAGATCCCGTATGTATCTGTCTCTGCTTGCGCAATCGCAACTGCTGACCCCAAATAGCCAGCTGGGATTTGGTACCTGGCAGTCTGCCCCCGGTCAGGTCGGTGATGCCGTCTACGAGGCCTTGAAGGCCGGTTACCGCCACTTGGTAAGTCATATATCCTAAATTGTATTCGGTGAATAACCAGTCACTAACACGATCTAGGATCTGGCTACTATGTAGGTTCACTCCACACACCAAATCGATCACACAAGCTAACCCCCGCAGCTACCAGAACCAGCGCGAGGTCGCCGAGGGCATCAAGAGAGCCTACAAGGATGTCCCTGGCCTCAAGCGTGAGGACATCTTCATCGTAAGCACATTCCATACATCCCACCTCCAGCCTATACTAACCCCCACAGACCTCCAAGCTGTGGAACTCCCAGCACGACCCCGCCGTTGTTGAGAAGGCTCTGGACGAGTGCCTTGCTGAGCTCGAGCTCGACTACCTCGATGTGCGTACCTTGATGACCGACATCACCAACAATCACTAACATCTTCCAGCTCTACCTCGTCCACTGGCCCGTTTCCTTCACCACCGGCTCCGAGCTCTTCCCCCTCGTCAAGGACAGCTCCGTTGAGGGCGGTGATGTCGTGATCAACGACAACATCTCCATCGTCGACACCTGGAAGGCCATGACCCAGCTCCCCAAGAGCAAGGCCCGCACCGTCGGTGTCTCCAACCACATGATCCCCCACGTGAGTCGCTTCATACCTACTCCTCATCAACACTTACTAATCTTCAAACAGCTCGAGGCCATCATCAACGCCACCGGTGTCGTCCCCGCCGTCAACCAGATTGAGCGCCACCCCGTTCTCCAGAGCAACGAGCTCATCGAATACTGCCAGAAGAAGGGCATCCACGTGACTGCCTACTCCGTACGCTCCCTCTCCACACCCTCTCCACACCATTCCAAAAGCAAACACTAATAAACAATGAATACAGGCGTTCGGTAACAACGGCTTCGGCGTCCCCCTCCTCGTCACCCGCCCCGAAGTCAAGGAAGTCGCCGAGTCTGCCTCCAAGCGCCTCGGCACCACCGTCACCCCCGCTCAGGTCGTCCTCGCCTGGTCCCAGGTCGGCGGCCACAGTGTCATCCCCAAGTCGGTTACGCCGTCCCGCATCCAGGAGAACTTCAAGGAGGTGGAGCTCACTCCCGAGGAAATCGCCAAGGTGTCCGAGCTTGGCAAGGACCGCAGACGCTACAACACTCCTTACATTGCTAACAAGCCTCGCTGGGATATTGACATCTTCGGTGAGGAGGAGGAGAAGCCTGCTGGTCATAAGGTGATTGTTTAAGTGCTGGTCGCTGGGAACTCTCGCTTGTATGATGATGATGATTATGTGACGGGTTATATATTTGTGTAGGAGATAGAGAAATGTGAAAATAGATTTGGTCTCCATACTGCTGATACTCGCTACGGGCCTATGTAGTACTTGGGTGTATTGGAATAAAGAGAATAGGTGTGTTCCAAGTAGGTAGTAGACGAGGCCATCGTTGACATTATAGCTGGTATATATTACTAGAGAAGGTAAGTAGGTCGAAAAAACTGATTGCTTAGTAATTATGTGCTACCGGCACAGTGTGTCCTCGGGATAACTTCAAGTCTGGAGCCAAGTCAACTAACTGCTGCAGTTACATGCCCACATATCTTTGCTAAGACGAGCAAGCCAACCAGCAACCTCAGTACTTTCATGCCCCTCTATTGATAATTGAGACATAGCCAACAGTCTATAGAACACTCATACAAGTTAACCCATCTACCAGCAAGCCAAACCACCCAAACACTCACCATAAACCTCACAAACAAGCACCCGATAATAACTTTTGATATAAACACCTCCAACATGACAGAACGCGACCAACCCCTCAACCAAGAACACCCCCAAACAGAACTCCTGGCCATTCTTCCTCCCCCCAACTTAATAAAACCCAAGGCATCCATCCTTCCTATGCTCCAGTCTGATATCTTCGTCCCGAGACGCGAGGCAATCTGTACACAGTGTTTGCGGAATATGGATTCAGAGGACATTGTGGATGGTAGATTTCTGTGCAGATGGCTGGCTTTTTGTGTGTAAAGTTCTTTGGAAGAGAGAGGGAGAGAAAAGCCTTTCGCTCGGTGGATGGAGGTATAGGTTAGATACTGGGCTGTAAGGGGGTAGGGTTAGGTATGCGGGGGAGGGGCAGAGACAGGATAGATATTTGATTTGCACACTATCGTAGGTATTGTTGCTTATACTCGTGATTATCGGTAGATACTATAGTGGAAGGGCTTTCAGCTGACGACAGCCTTATACATGAAGGCAGGGATATCGTGTCCAATCAGTCATGACCACGTTAGGATGGTGTCGTCAGTGCTGAGTCTCCTTGAGGGTTATTCGTTGATTGATGACACTAATACTAGGTTGTCTGTTCTGGAATTGGCGAATAGATCGTGATCATTAAATGAAAGCTGTTGTGGATGAGGTACAGCCTTGTTCGAAACAATGTGAGAGGGGAGTTGGAGTCAATAATATAAAATAGTTGAAGTAAGTAGTGAACTCTTTCCCCACGTTTCCTAATTTGACAGCTACTTATGTAGGATCAGTACCTATATGCTTTATGCTCTTCATTGGGTCATGGTCTGCTCGAGCCCATCCTACATTGTGGACCTTTCTTTCTATATCTACATCATATGATATCAACATTAAGCACATGCATTACAACACTTTCTATACTAACATCATCATAAAAGCAAATCCATTAGACACTAACAATTCACCAACCCCATCAATCAAGCGTCGTAAACAAATCCATCAACCTCTCAAACCTCGGCGTCCCCAACCCCGTAACAGGATCCCACCCCCTCGCAACCGGAAACCCATCAGTCCCACAACCCGGATTCTCGCCAACGGTCACATCCTTAAACGCCTCGGGATGTTCATACAACACCGGATTCACAAACCCCACAGTAGCCTTCCCCTTCGCCAACCTCTCCTCATTAATACGCGTCAACATGGCCGCGAACGCCGGCGCCGCAGCAGAAGTACCGCCTACTAGAGTGGCTTCGCCCTGATTATAGATGATGATGTTGTCTGCGATGGCAGAGATATCCGGGTATCCTCGTCCGATGCGGTTGTAGATCCCGTCTGCGTTGGAGAAGTCAGTGTAATTTACTTCTGAGTAGTAGGGGTAGGTGAGCTCGTCGGAGGTAGTGGAAAAATAGGCTTTCACGGAATGGTTCTGGTATGCTGGTCGGGCGTAGATATTGCTGAATCCGCCGCCGGAAGGAAAGCGGGTGACTGCTATTTCTTCGTCTTTGGCGGTGTCGGAGCCTAGAGGGAGGTATGTGCCTCCTACTACGGTTAGGTAGGGACATGTGGCTGGGAAGTCGGGGACGAAGATGTTGTCTGAGGAGCCCAAGCAAGCGCCGGTGCTGGAGGCGACGCCCGAGTCGCCGGATGCCACCACGACAGTGATTCCCTGGAGGCCGAGCTTCATGAACTCGTGGCATTGGCGGCGTTGGTAGGCGATGGGGAGCTCGGCTTCGGGGCTGCCGTAGGAGATGGAGATTACGTTTGTCGGAGTGTAGACGCCGCATTGCTTGGGGGAGTTGTAGCCGTCTGGGGAGGGGTCTGGGTATTGAGGGTCTAGGGAGGAGGTTTCGCTGCAGTAGGAGCCGTCGATGGCGTAGAGAAAGTTGTTCAGGAGGCCTTTGTAGTTGTAGTTGTCTTCGTAGTTGGGGTCGTCGGTTTGGTAGAGGATGGTGTTTTGGGGCCATATGATTGGGTAGGCCATCTGGAAGTCGAGGTCGGACTCGGGGCCCGCGTTGGTGACTTCTGTTGGCGCGGTGGCTCCGTCGATGGAGTCGAGGGTTGGATGGGTTCCTTGGGGAATCTCGCTGGGCGGTGTTAGTTGTGTCTTAGAGGGTGGAGGGAGGGGTTGAACCTGGCAAAGTTGGAGAAGAAAAGATTCAGATCTTCTTGACTGTAGATGTCTCCTAGGTCTTCGAAGATGCCGAGCTCGTTGCCCTTTGTGGCTGTTGTTCCCTTGGTGATGTTGTACATGGCTGGACCGTTAGCGTCGCTCATAGAGCTAGGTGGTTGGACATACCTCGAATACAGTCTGGTGTCACGGCCAAATCGCAGTGTGCTAGCGGGTCGTCGAAGATCTTGGTGATATTGATTGGTAGTGGAGCGAGAATCGGGGGCAGACTGCCGAGGAAGCGCTTCTCTGTATCTCTCTTCTTGGAGGGCATGCCGCGCACTTCTAACATCTTCACTCCTGGTGTGATGTAGTCGATGTGCGATTGAATAGCCTCGGGCACGTGGTATCTAACCGGTTAGCGGTGTCGTGACATGTAGGAGATGGACTCACTCGTGGCATGTCACATGGGAGCTTCCCGTGTCGGCGTGAGAATAGATGTAGTATTCTGTTTGCAGAAGCTGCTCGACCTCGCTTGCGTGGGCATCGAACTGCAGCCACTGCTTATTGTAGGATTGCGAGATACAGCTTGGAGCAATGCCAGCAGATTCTATCCAGGCTCGGACGTTCTCCACGGCCTCGTTCGACGGAGCAAACAGGTCATGCACCTCCTCGCTGGAGAGGTGCTGTCCGTAGCGGGACGATTGGGGATGAGATCTAAACCATCAGCTAGGTCCTGGTAAGGGAACAGACAACATACACCTCCATCAACAAATCGTGACCACGATCCAAGTTGGACTGGGTAAGCCCTATTCGCATAGGCAGCATAGCACTCTTGTCCAACCGGCTTTCCTCTACCCAGACACTGGGCAATGCATCGCGCCGCTCATGAACGACATAATTACGGGGCGTTGGACTAGCCAGAGCGACCGTAACATTGAGAAGGAGAAGTGAGGCACGCATGTTGACAGCAGCAACAGAATAAGCGTGGCGTGCAAAACATCACGCAAAAACGGTGGAAGCTGCGGGAATTATATGCTAGTTGACAGAACGCTGCTGATCCCATTGACTCGCATCACTTCACTTTGACACGCTGACGTTTGCACTCCAACATCTCAACGACAGAAGCCCATGGCTAGAGGGTATGGCATGAATTCCAAACCCTGATAAGAGACTTTGACATCCATCGCCAATAAGGAACCTGACTAGTGCAGATCACTCTGGATCATCCTGGTCAAGACCCGCTGTCCGTGCAAACACCAATTGCTGTGCTATTGTCGCTAGCCAAAGGCTGTTCAAGGCACCCACAGACAGAACATAAGCGTCAAATCAATCAATCTAACCAAAAACATCTTGCTCAACGGCGAAACCCCCTATTATCAAACATAAAAAAATCCGTTCAATCCCACCACCAAACCGTCATCACCAATGCGACAAAAGAAAACACAACCATAGCGAGAAAAACAAGCACTAGACACAATCAATTGTCCGATCTGCACGAGAGCAATAGACAGCGGGCTGTAAAGCCTAAGTCGTGGGTGTGTGGGTAAACCAATCACACTAGTGGTGGTTCCACGACGGGCGATCAGCGCCAGACACTAAAGCTTGTCTTCGGAGTCGGACAATCCACGCGGAAAGCTTGAGTTGGTCTTGAGAGCTCCAGGGGAGAGTTAATCCCCTTTTCTTCTCTTATTGATGATGGGGAGGATTTAATGTAATTTGTTGAGTTTTGGGTCGGAAGTATGACCTTACGCCATGGGCTAGCTAACTAATTGTCAGGGATATATTAGTAAGTCCAGTGTGAGTACTCAATATGAGAGTCCATCGAAGCGCACCTTGGACAAGCAATAGTTTAGTTCGTCTTAACTCCACTCGTGGGTCATGTCTCTGTTGCTCAAGAACCATAATGTCAATAAATCCTCTCCACCTGGTGGGCAGAGAATAGGTTGGTAAGCTTCACACGATGACATCACAAGCGACAGGTACTTGGTTTATTCTGGAAGCAGAATACAAAAGTGGACTATCGCATTAGACGAGTAGATCAGTTCTGCTACTATTAGCTGTTTGGCTGATGTTCTTTAGTTTGAGTTGGGGGGTTGTGCTGGATTGTGCAAAGTTGTGAGCACAATGTAGAAGTTGGCTGGAGTACTGCTGTGCTTACCTGGGTCGGTGAAGCCAATCACCTGATTCTCAGAGTAACTAGGGGTTATAGTATCTGGTATGAAGTGCTGAAAATATGGAAGGTTTTCAGAGAATGTTGCACAAGTATGTCGAGTGGACAAATTATATGTTATTCATCTTGCATTAAGCCGACATATGTCTAATAAGCTCTTTTTGTATATACTTCAACTACCATGTATGTTCTCTCCGCTCACCCACCTCCATCATCATCGACACCACTAATCTTTCATCTCAAGCAATCTTATCCGGGGTAGCAGTGACCTCCTGGTGGATAGTCTGTCCACCAGCAACCTTCTTGTCATCATCAAAGCCAACCTCCTCGATGTGCGCACCGCGCGAGTACTCGTTCTTCGTCTTCCAGGCGGGCGTACCAATGTACGGAATACCGTTGGGATCAGTGAAGATGGCCTCGACCTCTTCCAAGGTCTTACCCGTGGTCTCGGGGAAGAAGAAGAAAATGTGAATGAACATGGCGGTACAGAAAACACCGAAGAGGATGTAGACCTTCCACTGGATGTTGACAAAGGCCGGGGGAACGAAGTAGCTGAGGGCGAAGTTGAAGGCCCAGTTGGCCGAAGTGCAGAGGGCGGTGGCCTTGCCACGCACACGCAGAGGGAACAGTTCCGGGGGGTACACCCAGCTGGCCGGGCCGAAGGAGATGGCGTATGAGGCTACGAAGAGGTAGGTACTGGCAATGACAGCCTTGCTGGGCGCGCCGTGGATGACCCAAGACTCGGCCTCGACGTGGTTGAGACCACCGGGCGGCGCGGGATGGCCGTAGCTGGCCATCAGACCGGCATTGATGTACATCCAGATCATCATGAAGAGGGAACCGATCAAGAAGGTCGGGCGACGACCCCACTGATCACCCCAAATCAGAGCCGGCACGGTCATGCACACGTTGATCACGTATTGGATACTGGAGGAGATCAGGTTGTTGTTGCCCTTCAGGCCGGCCATAGCAAAGACGTAGGTAATGTAGTACACTAGAACGAACAGTCAGTATTGCTACCCACCCGTACAGGCTTGGAAGACACTTACTCATGACGTTCATTC